CCTGGAATCCAATAAATTCTAAATATTATTTTTGTTGTTGTTGTGTAACTTGTAATTGGAGGCCCCTTAACACTCTTGATGTGGAAGTTAAGATACTCTCCCATTTTTCGGAAAATGTGGGACCCCCTAATCAACTTATGGATGTTGAAGATGAATCTTTAACCCAATCTGGTATTAAAAGATAAATATTATCTATCAGGTGTGACCCATTTTGGTACACCAATTCTGTTTGCTTGAACATTTTAATTCATAGACAAAAGAATGTTATGCAGGGAAGAATGGTGATTTTCGGAAATAGTAATAGTGTGTGGAAAAAATTACCCTTGGCTGTTTGATATTTTTATCTGTAAACGTTGCAAGACTATGTTCTGGAAATAAAAAGGTCACTTTTGTTAGTATTCAAGCACCCAAGGACAGTACATTTCTTAAGACTGACAGATTGAGATTGAAGGAGACTATTGAAAATTATCTAGCCACCTTTAAATTCAAGCCATTCTTTGCGTTTATAATATCATCTGAAATGACTTAGAATAATAGCAATTTTTTTCTTCATGCTTAGAGGAGTTTTTTGCAAGGAGTGCTCAAAAAAAATGAAAGGAAAGAAAAAGAAAGAAAGAAAATAAGAAAGAAAGAAAATAAGAAAGAAAGAAAGAAAGAAAGAAAGAAAGAGGAAAGAAAATAATTAAAATTTGTCTTCAGTTGATGAATGAACTTACAATGTACCACCGACAAATACATTTTGTATGCCATAGGTCAGAGGTAGGCAACCTTGGCTCTTTCATGACTCGTGGACTTCAACTCCCAGAATTCCTGAGCCAGCCATGCTGAGGGGAAAGGGAGAGGTTTCCATGCTGAGCCAGGCTGGCTGAGAAATTCTGGGAGTTGAAGTCCATGAGTCATAAAAGAGCCAAGGTTGCCCACCCCTGCCATAGGTTCATATCTGTTGGCAGATTGGCAGGGGATAAAATACAGATTAGGATAGTAGGATATAAAAGGCTTGATGGCAGTGGGGGTGGGGGTGGAGGGAGAAAATGGTTCTTCTGAATTTAAAATGCTGTAAAATGAACCTTGTATCAATAGAATATTTGCAGCTCAGAGTTGAGCTGTGGGTGAACAAGGACTCCACAATAAATGTAGTGCATAGGCTAGTGGACTTCCTGTTCAACCATCTCCACTTGAGGCATTTCAAAATCTTGATTTTATGGACTGCTTCCAAACCAAGATGAACGGCAGGAAGAAGGTTTGCGTCAAACATTTTGTATTCCTGGGATATTGGAGAAACAACCTTCAAAGATAGGCCAGTTTTCTATGGACTGGGGGGTGGAGTGGGCGGGCAGACAGGACAGTTAGGAACTCAGCCAGCAGAGGAAGCATTTTAGTGTAAATAAATCTGGCATTATTACAATAGGATTTTTAAAAAGGGTGGGGAAGACAGAGAATCTGGGAGACAAAACACGGGAGGAAAGATTTTGCTGTAAATAAATCAAGGGTTATTTTTTTCCCTTTCAAAGCCAGTTTCCTGTCCATAGTTTTCAGAGCTGACTTCTTTTTCTCCCTAAACTGGATAAGTACAGGTAGTCCTCAGCTTACGACAAGCCACTTAGCAACCATTCAAAGTTACGACAGACCTCCCCAGAGGTACTTATGACCAGGTTCTGAAGTTCTGTCTGCCCACAGCTGACGGCATGTCGGTCTCTTAGCAACCAGCCTGCATTTATGACCATTTGCAGTATCCTGCAATTAAGTAATGATGTTTTATGATAGTTTTGCCTCCCCCCCCCAAATAATAATGGCATTTTTGCAGGCCAGACACAAGAACTCAGGTATGTGCCCAAGACAAAAGATTGGCTGAGCAGCTAAGTAGGAAGTTGGGAGACAGCAGAGCTGACTGGAGAGCTGCAGGCCTGATCTGGAAGGCTTTGTGTCGGGTGTGTTTTTCCCCCTCCAGATGTTCATACTGGACAAGCTCCCATTGAAGCCAATGGGTTGCAGGAGACAGCACTTAGTGTGGAATTGAAAGGCTCCTTTCCCATTGACAGAAGGACGAAGGGCTTAGGGCTGTTCCCTTTGATCTGAAAATACATCTGGCAATTGTGGAATAAGCTTCTTTGTCAACATTCGGCTTGATAATGTGGCATTGCGGTTGTTGGCCACCTTTGCAGAAAAAATTCTTTTGTCCATATCCTTTTATTTCCCTTGTGTTGGGTTCATTGAAAACATCTAAAGGTGTCTTTGCTGCGTCCTGATAAACATTTTGGTAATGGATGGGATACGCCTGCAGCCCAAACTTTATGCACCCTTTCCTATATAGATTCCTTGTCAGTTAAAAATAAAATAAAATATTTCGACCCCCGTTCTGCCATGCTTGAGGCTCAAGATAGGTAATGCACTATTAGCAATTCCTGTGGAGGTTAAGGTCCTGCCCCATGGGATTTTATGGGGTATGAACCCAAAGGTAATCCTTCTCTGGGCATCTGACAGAGACACATTTGCCATTGGCTTTCTACAAAGGCATCAGCACTGATTTTTGGGGTGTTTGATTCGGGGTCAGGTTCAGAATAGAATTAGAATTAGAATAGAATAGAATGGAATGGAATGGAATTCTTTATTGGCCAAGTGTGATTGGACACACAAGGAATTTGTCTCCGGTGCATAAGATCTCAGTGTACATACAGGCAACAAGTGATAAATCATGATGAATAGAATGGAATGGAATGGAATAGAATAGAATAGAACAGAATAGAACAGAACAGAATAGAATAGAATTCTTTATTGGCCAAGTGTGATTGGACTCACAAGGAATTTGTCTCCGGTGCATAAGATCTCAGTGTACATACAGGCAACAAGTGATAAATCATGATGAATAGAATAGAATAGAATAGAATAGAATAGAATAGAATAGAATAGAATAGAATAGAATAGAATAGAATGGAATGGAATAGAATAGAATAAATGAAGAATAGAGTAGAGTAGAGCAGAATACTTCATTGGCCAAGTGTACATGGTTCATAAGCTCTCCGTGTACACACAAGCTATAAGTGATAAATCGTGATCATAGTTATCATAAAAATACATTCATCCTAAATCATAAGATACAAGACAGTGATAATTTCTCTCCTGGGGGTGAGGGTGGGGGACGTTGCTCTCGTCCTGGGTTTGAGTCCAGCGCTAGGGCTGCCTGTACGTGGGCCGAGCAAGTGCAGAGGCGGACTCTCACCACCCCCTTTCCCCTTACCTCCCCCCCCCCCCAACACGGCAGGGTCTCGTCCCGAGGTGAGCTCCAGCGCTTCTTGCGCCTCCACCTTGAAAGGCTCCGGCAGGCCCGTGGTGCTGAAGGACAGCTCCCTTCGCCCGGAGCCGCGCGCTAAGCCAGGCGGCTCCGTTTTGGCCTCGCCCGGGGCCGCCCAGCGCTGGGGCCGCTTCCTTCGCGCTGGGGCCCGCGGGATTTGAACCCGGCTCCGAAGGGCTCTGGGGCTGCTGGATTAAACAATAGAAGCCACGCGTCCCTTTTCCCCGCCTTCAGCGGCGGCGGCGGCGTGGCCGGGAAGCCAGCGCGCCCAGCGCGGAAGCAGCAGCACCGACTCGCCCGCTCGCTCTCCGCGGGCAGTCCAGCGCGGATCGGGGTGCCGGCGAGCAGGGCACACCGGCCGCCTCCCCCAGCGAGAAGCCCAGCCGAGCGGCGGCCGGGACCGAAGCTCCCCGGGGCCCGCGGGCAGCGCCAAAGGCCGGGGGGGGGGACACGCGGCTTTTCCTCGACAAGAAGCTAGCAGAGCTGAGCAGGGGCTGCCTGGCGGGAGGAGGAGGGGGAGGAGGAGATCGGGCAGGACCACCCGGACGGGCCAAGCTCCTCCGCCGCGGGGGCGCCGGAGCCCCCAGCCCCAATTGTCCCTCCCCTCGGCCCCCTCCCCCCTCCCAGCGGCCTCTGGCCTCCCAGCCTCCCCGCCGCCTCTCCCCCGCCCCAGGAGTCAAAGCCGGGGGCGGGGGGCGCCTCCGGCCCTGCTCTTCCCCGGCCTCCTCCTCCTCCGGCCCCTCGCCCACCCCCCCAGCAGCCTGACCTCGCGGCGCGAGCTCGGATGGGCTGCCCTGCGGTCGCTTCAGCCGGAGGGGCCTCCCGCTCGCCCGCGCCCGGAGCTCCAGAGCCGGGACTCGCCTCTTCCGCTTGGCCCGCCAAAGGGCCGGCCCCCGTTCGGCCACCAAGGCCGGCCGTCGCCGCTTCCTGAGGGCAGGCCTCCCCCCCCCGCCGCCGCCGCCGTCAAGCCGGCTTCCGAGCGCACGGCTAGCCCGGAGAGGCTTCCCTTCTTTCGGCCTAGCTGGTTCCCGACTCGGCCCAGAGCGCGTCTCCATTGGCGAAGGAGACGGCCGGAAAGGCCCCGTAGCCAGCCAGCCCCCCCCCGGCCCCTTATCTCCCCAGGCAGCCAGCTCCCCCAGACCACAGCCAGCTAGCCTCCCAGCCCCTCACCCCCCAACCAGCCAGCCAGCCAGCCCCCGCCCCCAGGCAGGCAGCCTCCCAGCTCCAGTCTCCCAGCCAGCCCCCCCAGCCCTCCAGACCACAGCCAGCCATCCTCCCAGCCCCTCACCCTCCTCAGCCACCCAGCCCCCCCCCAGGCAGACAGCCAGCCTTCCAGCCCCTCACTCTTCCAGCCAGCCCCCCAGACCACAGCCAGCCATCCTCCCAGCCCCCCACCTCCCTCAGCCATCCATCCAGCCAGCCCCCCCCAGGCAGCCAGCCATCCCCCCAGCCTCTCACCCGCCCCCCCTCAGCCATCCATCCAGCCAGCCCCCCAGGGCTCCTAGGCCTCAGCCAGCTAGGCAGCCCCTCACCCCCCAGCCAGCCCCCCCCAGCCAGCCCCCCCCCAGCCCCCCAGACCACAGCCAGCCAGTCAGTCCCCAGGCAGCCAGCCTCCCAGTCCAACCCCCCCCCCCGGCCTCCCCCAGACCCCAGACCCCGCCGCGGCTGCGCTCCTCCGCTCCCCCCCCCCGCGGGCGGGCGGATTTGCATGGTCCCCGTCCCCGGAGCGGGCGGAGGGCGACGATGGCCGGGCGGCAGCGGCCGGGCGGGCGGAGCGGCGAGGAAGCGGAGGACGAGCTGCCGGTCTACCTGGCTCGGCCCGGCACGGCGGCCCAGACGCCGCGGCAGAAGTACGGCGGGATGTTCGCGGCGGTGGAGGGCGCCTTCGAGAACAAGACGCTCGACTTCCAGGCCTACAGCGTGGGCCAGAAGGGAGCGCGCACCCCGCGCAGCGGCAGCCGCTCCGACCTGCTGGACCGCGCCGGCGAGGCCGGCGGCGACTGCAGCGAGGTGTCCGGCTCCGGTTTCAGCTCGCCGGCCGGGGAGGCTAACGACCGCCGGCCGGCCCTCTGCCTGGAGCTCCGGCCCCCGCTGGCCGACCAGCCCTGGCCCGGCCCGGAGGAAGGCAAGGTAAAGCCTGGGGGGGGGGAGTGTGGCTCGGATGGTCTGGGTGTGGGGCCTGGGGAGGGGGCCTGATGCTTGGGGGCGGCCCTGGGGGAGGGCCTGGGTAGACCCTCATAGCCCTGAGCTTCCCCTTCCATTCCCCCCCCCCGCTTCCGCTGGACCCGAGTAGCTTCCCCCCCTCTCCCTCCCCCCCATCCCCCGTGTCTGTCTCAGGCACAGCTGGTGTAATCCTGGGGGGGGGGTGGCTCGGACGGTCTGGGTGTGGGGCCTGGGGAGGGGGCCTGGGGCTGGGGGGCAGGGGTAGACCCTCATAGCCCTGATCTTCCCCTTCCATTCCCCCCCCCGCTTCCGCTGGACCCGAGTAGCTTCCCCCCCTCTCCCTCCCCCCCATCCCCCATGTCTGTCTCAGGCACAGCTGGTGTAATCCTAGGGGGCTTCGGAGCTGGCCAGATGGCCATCTCCCTGGTCTTTGCGGGGTGGTTGGGGGGGGGGTGTCAGGGGGCGCTTCGGTTCTTCTGCCCCGGACTTCTGCTCTCGTCCACGCGTGACCTGTGGTTGCGTTCGCTGGTGTCTTCCTTTTGGGGTGAATGGGTGGAAAAGGAGAATCCGGAAGTGGAGAATGGGCAAGCCCCCCCCCCACACCTCCTAAGATTGAGGCTTGCGGTTCCAAATTTCAGTGAATAAGGACTAGCTTGGCTATTTCTTTCAGAAAATCTGAGCAGGGAGAGCCTAAGGAGAGGGAGCTAGAGATGACACCTCACACTCCACATTAAGAGCGCGGCTCCTTGTGCTGTGTGAATCCAGCTGCTGCAGTGACAGATCCTGGTTAAGGTTCAGCCTGAAACGGGAATCCCATTAGCCAGAAAAGAGCATTCACTGAGCTTCACTGAGTAAAACTTCTGGGGCCTTAGAATCAGCCTGGACTCTGGGCATCTGCCTGTATCGGTTCTTGTCATTTTCTTGGCCAGGTTTTCCAGGACTGGTTTGCCATTACTTCCTTCTTAGGGCTGGGGGAAGAGTGACTGGCCCAAGATCACCCAGGTGGCTTTGGGCCTAAGGCGGGGCGAGAAGTCTCCTGGTTCTAACTAGGTGTTGAACCACACAGGCCCAGCCTGTCTCTGGTGATGATCTAAGCCAGGGGTGTCAAACTCAATTTCATTGAGGGCCACATCAGCATTGCGGTTGCCCTCGGGTGGGTGTGAGTGTGGCCAGGATGGGTGTGGCCTACTGGGTGGGTGTGGATGGAGTGGGTGTGGCCTACTGGGTGGGCGTGGCCAGCTCTACATCATTCGTGTCAAGGGTGCCTGTGGGGGCCTGGGCAGGCGTGGGACAGATCTGAGTGTCTCTGGCAGAAGGGGGTGGGACCGGGGCAAGAGCCAAGGCATGGTCCATTTCTTCATTCCTCACAAAGGGTGACCCCTCCCCAGCATGCACCCAGCGGGCGAGGCCGACACGTCAGGGGCCGGTTCCTCGCTGTTTCCGGACGGCCTTGTGGAGCTAAGACTGAATGCGTTTCAGCATAGATGGCCACCACAAAATTGTACGTTGGCTCCCGGCCAGCCTGGGCCAGGGCCAAGGCAGCAGGGGCCGTTCCCTCACTGTTTCCAGGATGGCTTTGTGGGCCACATGAAACCACTTTGCGGGCTGCATCCAGCCCCCGGGCCTTGTGTTTGACATGTCTGATCTAAGCTTTTTTCATGTACAGTAGCACACATTGACCGGCAGACTTAGTTGAAGATACCGCTAGCTCTGATGATGCTCCCTAGTTGGGTCATGAAATGTCTGCAAGAAAACCACTAAGCTCAGAGAGCCCCAAGGGCATCATAGTCACCCTCCTCCTCCCCCTCCCCCTCCTCCTCCTCCTCTCCATAAATCCCATTCCCTTCTAGCACTGACGATGTTACCTAATTGGGCAACGAAACGTCTGCAAGGAAGCACCCAACCCAGCAGTTCAACCTCTAGCTACAAATATTCTCCTTCATTGAAGACACCCCTTCAAGTACAGTTGTGTCACTCTCCGACTGAAAGTACAAATGCTGTTTAAAAACTGTTTAAAAGCCCCGCTTAACATTCTCAATCAGGACTGCAGGTTTTCCACGCAAGTCACTGGAAGCAAATTGCGCAGGAACTCTTCTTTGCAGTGTTTGGCGATTTGCTGACCTCCTTGGCTTTATCAATCTCATCGCAAAAGGGCACGGTGTCGTTCTCTGCACTCTTGAGACAAGATTGTACAGTGCTCGTAAGGATGTGTCAACCTGAGCTGCTGCTGGCTTTTTCCCTTTTCTTATTTGACTGTGATAACTATTTTAATTTTAGGAATGAGTTTGGTTTGCAATTGCTTAGGTCAGGAAGACTCTGTAATGGAAGGCAACTCATTGCCAGCTTTTAATTCTTTGGGCAGTTCAGATTAAGGGGGCCTCCCCAACTGTCCAACTCTGTGCACAATGCAGAAGGGCCAACAACACCACGACCCTCAGCCGCAGGACAGGCTGCAGGGTGGGGCTCCCGGAGTGTGGGGGGGGTTCAAAGAGACCCTGGGCGGAGTGCAACAGAGGCAGTGGCAAGATTGAGGCTCCTTCTGTGTGTGTGTGAGAGAGAGGGGGGGGCAGGAGAGGGAGAGGGAGAGAGAGGGAGGGAGGGAAAGAGTAGGAGAGGGAGAGGGATAAGGAGAGAGGGAGAAAGAGAGGGAGAGGGGAAGGGAGGGAAAGAGGGAGAAGGAGAGAGAGAGAGCGTGAAGGGAAAGAGAGAGAGAGAGAGGAAGGGAGGGAGGGAAAGGGAGAAGGAGAGAGAGTGTGAGGGGAAAGAGAAAGAGAGAGGAAGGGTGGGAAAGAGGGAGAAGGAGAGAGAACGTGAGGGGAAGAGAGAGAGAGAGGGAAGGAGGGAGGGAAAGGGAGAAGGAGAGAGAGAGAGAGTGAGGGGAAAGAGAAAGAGAGAGGGAAGGAGGGAGGAAAAGGGAGAAGGAGAGAGAGTGTGAGGGGAAAGAGAAAGAGAGAGGAAGGGTGGGAAAGAGGGAGAAGGAGAGAGAGCGTGAGGGGAAGAGAGAGAGAGAGGGAAGGAGGGAGGGAAAGGGAGAAGGAGAGAGAGAGAGTGTGAGGGGAAAGAGAAAGAGAGAGGAAGGGTGGGAAAGAGGGAGAAGGAGAGAGAACGTGAGGGGAAGAGAGAGAGAGAGGGAAGGAGGGAGGGAAAGGGAGAAGGAGAGAGAGAGAGCGTGAGGGGAAAGAGAAAGAGAGAGGGAAGGAGGGAGGAAAAGGGAGAAGGAGAGAGAGTGTGAGGGGAAAGAGAAAGAGAGAGGAAGGGTGGGAAAGAGGGAGAAGGAGAGAGAGCGTGAGGGGAAGAGAGAGAGAGAGGGAAGGAGGGAGGGAAAGGGAGAAGGAGAGAGAGAGAGTGTGAGGGGAAAGAGAAAGAGAGAGGAAGGGTGGGAAAGAGGGAGAAGGAGAGAGAACGTGAGGGGAAGAGAGAGAGAGAGGGAAGGAGGGAGGGAAAGGGAGAAGGAGAGAGAGAGAGCGTGAGGGGAAAGAGAAAGAGAGAGGGAAGGAGGGAGGAAAAGGGAGAAGGAGAGAGAGTGTGAGGGGAAAGAGAAAGAGAGGAAGGGTGGGAAAGAGGGAGAAGGAGAGAGAGCGTGAGGGGAAGAGAGAGAGAGAGGGAAGGAGGGAGGGAAAGGGAGAAGGAGAGAGAGAGTGTGAGGGGAAAGAGAAAGAGAGAGGAAGGGTGGGAAAGAGGGAGAAGGAGAGAGAGCGTGAGGGGAAGAGAGAGAGAGGGAAGGAGGGAAAGGGAGAGGGAGAGAGGGAGAGGAAGAGAGATGAAATGATAGTAGATAGATGACAGAGATATAGAGATATAGATAGATATAAATGAAATGATAGTAGATAGATAGATGATATAGATAGCTAGACAGACAGACAAACAGATAGACAGGCGGTATTGGGGAGGGGGGGAAGGCATCACTGGGCAAGCCCCAGAGGGACGGGGGGGGGGTGCAAGAGGCAGTGCCGCCGCAGGTGCAAGGCGGGGGGGGGGGCGTAGGAGGAAGGCGCGGGAGCCGACGTGGGGAGGGGGGGCGCAGACCGACCGGAGACCGCGCCGGTGTGGGCTGGAGGGGGGAGGGCGTCATTGGGGGGACGGGGAGGGGGCTTCCCTCTGCCAGAGGCAGCGTCGCGGCAGGTGCAAGGCGGGGGGGGGGCTTACAAGGAAGGCAAGGGGGCCGACGTGGGGAGGGGGGGCCGCAGACCGGCCGGTGGGCTCCTAGAAAGAGGGGGGGCGGCCTTTTCCGCTTCCTGGGCTGCGCAGGGCGGGGGCGGCGCCGCCCCTCGCCAGTCCCCCCGCCCGCCCAGCCCCTCGCGCCGTCGTTGGGAAGGGGCGCTCGTCGCCCCCCCACTCCCCGTAGCCCAGACCCCCCCGCTTCCGCGGCATGGCTCGCGCCCCGGACCCCGAGGGGCTGCCCCGGCAGGTGAGCGGGGCTGGGGGGGGGGCTGGGGGGCTCCGGCGGAGGCGGGCGGGGGTCGGCTTTGTCTGCCTGCCTGCCTGCCGAGGGAAGGGATGGGAACCGGGCGCGGCTGGGGCTGGGGGGGGGGGAGAGGACCGGAGGGAAAGGGAAGGCTGGCTCCGTCCGCGCTTCTGGCCTTTCTCCCTCCCCCCCCCCCCCGGTGCAAAGCAGGAGCCCCGAGAGCTCCGCGCCTTCTTCCCGAGTCGGGAACGCCCGGCCTTCTTTGCACCTCTGCCCGGGCCCTTGTTTTCGTTTTCATTTTTAAATTTAATTGTATTTTATTCCGCTTTGAAGAGTCTTGCTTACGGGGCCTTGATCGGAGGAGGGCTAGGGGAAAAAAAAAAAAGAGGATTTCGCCTTTTTTTTTTTTTTTTTTTTTTGCAGAGAGCCAAGATTTTGCTGAGCGAAGAGCTTGGGTAGAAGACTGGGTGGTGGTTGAGGAGGGCTCTTGAAAAGAGGGAGCCAGGGGTGATTTTATAGTGTGTGTGTTTGTGTGTGTAATGGCTGGTTTCAACAGCTATGGGATCGTCAGCCACTAGATGCAATCTGGAAAAAAGCAGATCGAGATCTGAGCAAGCCATGGCTTCTTTTCTTATGAATAATGCAAGGTTCAGATCATCCCCAGAAATAAGTGTTGAGCAAGGGACTTGGAAGGGAAAACGTGGCCATCCAGTCACACGAAATGGTGAGATGAGCAGCACATAAATTTTAATAATAATAATAATGATGATAACAAAATACAAAGACCAACAAATAGAAATAGAAAGACTGTGGCAAAGGCAAGCAAGGGTGGTACCAATAGTGATAGGCTCCTTGGGTGCAATCTCAAAACAACTGGAGCACCACCTGAACACCATTGGCATTGACAAATTTGCTATTAGTCAATTGCAAAAGGCGGCCTTACTAGGAACTGCTTCCATCCTGCGATGAGATCTGTAATACCATCAAACATCCACATCTGCCTATCCCAGGTCCTTGGGAAGGACTCGATAGGTAGACAAAAGGCCAAATCCAGTCTGAACATCTGGCTGACTGTGCGATGATCCATAATAATAATAATAATCCCCAAACAACTGGAGCACCACTTGAACACCATCGGCATTGACAAATTCGCCATTAGTCAATTGCAAAAGGCCGCCTTACTAGGAACTGCTTCCATCCTGCGACGATATCTGTAATACCATCAAACATCCACATCTGCCTATCCCAGGTCCTGGGTAAGGACTCAATAGGTAGACAAAAGGCCAAATCCAGTCTGAACATCTGGCTGACTGTGTGATGATCCATAATAATAATAATAATAATTTGGAATCCAAACGGACCAACATCTGGCCCTATAACAGGGGTCTTCAAACTTGGCCCTTTTATGAGTGGTGGACTTCAACTCCCAGAATTCCTCAAACCGAGCGACTCAAGTTCTAGTCCTGCCTTAGTCATCAAGCCAAACTGGGTAATCTTGGGCCAGCCACTGTCTCCCAGCCCAGGAAGAAGCAGCAATGGCAAACCACTTGCAAAATCTCACCTAGAAAAATGGCAGGGACTGCTCATCCAGGCGGTCAGCAATGACTTGGAGGCACGCAAACCAAACCCTGATGGTTAATGGGTAGGCCTACTTCAGCTGCATCCTGAAAGCGTTATTTGGGTCAAACCGAGTTCCTGCCTGGCTGCACACGAAAGAACCACATGGATTCCCTGAGGCCACTTCGAATTCAGGCCATTCTTCGCTTTGGAGCCTGCAGCCCAGGGGTACTTGGTCAGAATTTATTGCAAGACTGACAGATGACAGAAGATAATCAGAACGGTCAGGGATTCTTTTTACACAAAGAACCAGGCGGAGCGTTGGAGGAGGAGGAGGAGGAGAGGGAATAAACAGGTTGTTATTATTGTGAGTTGTTTAGTCAGGGCTGAACTTTCATGCAAGCCTTTGTCCTTTTTGCCTGATGAAGCTGCTAGCCCAGTGATGGCGAACCTTTTAGAGACTGAGTGCCCAAACTGCAACCCAAAACCCACTTGTGCATCGTCGAGTGCCGGGTGGGTGTGGCCCATTGGCTGGGTGTGGCCCATTGGATGGGCGTGGCTGTGGTAGTAACGGCAGACTGGGTGGGACTAAAAAGTTCAATCAGTCAGTTCCAACTTTGCAAGATCTTTTTTCCCGTGAGAAGTTGAAATTGATTGAACCTTTTTTTTTTTTTTGCACATGGCGGCGGAGGCCTAAAGCGAAAAGGTTTTATAAAACTCAGCTGAAGGCCTAGGACTGGGGGGATTGCGCGCTTGCCCACAGAGAGGGCTCTGAGTGTCGCCTCTGGCACCCGTGCCATAGGTTCGCCACCACTGCGCTAGCCCCTAGTCTTCTCTGATTCATAGCCTAGTTTGAATCAGCTCACAGCCCAGTTTAGATTTTTCTAGAATTTTAGAATGGGGGGTGGGTGGGTGTAGGGAACCACAGCCCTTTTATGACTTGTGGACTTCAACTCCCAGAATTCCTGAGTCAGAAATCCTGGGAGTTGTAGTCCACAAGTCATAAAAGGCCAAGTTTCCCTGCTGGCTCAGGAATTCTGGGAGTTGTAGTCCACAAGTCATAAGAGGGCCAAGTTCCTATGCCGTCTCGGGAATTTTGAGAATTGAAGTCCACAAGTCATAAAAAGGGCCATCCCTATCCTACAGCAAGGGTGTCCAACCTTAGGAACTTTAAGATCTGTGGACTTCAACTCCCAGAATTCCCCAGCCTGCCAGCCATGCTGGCTGGGGAATTCTGAGAATGGAAGCTCACAAGTTGCCAAAGTTGGACACCCTTGTCCTAGAGCAGTGGTTCTCAACCTTTTTAATGCCGTGACCCCCAACCGGTCGTAAGTCGAGGACTACTCGACTGGTCGTAAGTCGAGGACTACTCAACTGGTGCAGCACCGTTTGCAGAATGGGACTTTTGGCGGGCTCAGCAGGGCAGAGACAGCCTGGACCATTCCTATTGGCTTTTGAAAGCCAATAGAATTAGACTCTATTCAAGAGAGTCTATTCTATTGGCTTTCAAAAGCCAATAGAATAAAAGGGAGTAGCACAGCTAAGGAAAAGGGGAAAAAATGGCGGACTGCGTTGTTTGGTGACCCCCGTGAATTGGTCGTTTGACCCCAAATGGGGTCCCGACCCACAGGTTGAGAACCACTGTCCTAGAGCGTCAAGCTCTGCAGTTATTACAGCTCCTGCGTCTTCCTCCAATTCAGAAACAAACGGAAGGGTTTCACTTCGGGAGCCATATCTAATACGTGGTTTGTTTGGAAGGAGAACTTCTGCTTCACAATTCTGTAAACCCAGGAATGCAGGTCTGTCCCGGGAGAAGACTTCTCAAAGGGCTTCAAGGACAGGCAGGAAGTCATCGCTTCTTTGAGATACTGAAGTTCTGCTGTAGTGTTATGGGCTCCTGGCCACTTTCCTTCGTGACCAGAGGCGAGCTCGCCTGACCAATAACCAGCCAAGACATAGTGAAGGCCTTTTGTTTCGTTTATTGCTATAAGCGGGGAGAGAAGCTATCAAAAGCTTGGTTCTCTCCAAAGTTTCAACCCAAAATATTCCCTTCTTTATACAGCCCCATCCCGGCCGCCACATCCCTCCTCTTTCCCCTTTCGCTGAGGTACTATGAGGTTACACTCTTTCCGATTATCTCCTATATATTTCCTGCTACATGCTAAATCATACATCACATGTGCATTAAAATTAAGAGATAATTTATGCAAGGTGTGTCAGTTAATATTAATCAACTAATTGCACAGGCTCAGTTGCCTGAGTTCTGCCCCCCCTATTTTTCTTAGAAAAATAGCTTCTTTCCTATTTTGCTAGTTATCTTCTCTTACAGCTCCTTTTCCCATTCTGAAGACCCAGATAACAGTTTTGCCTATGTGTTTCTCTTACATCCTTCCTTTATGCCAGTGGTGGCGAACCTATGGCACGGGTGCCAGAGGAAGCACTCAGAGCCCTTTCTGTGGGCACACGCACCGTCACCCAGTCCTAGACCTTCAGCTGGGTTTTATAAAACCTTTTCGCTTTAGGCCTCCACCGCCTAAAAAAAGGTTCAATCAATCAGTCAATTTCAACTTCTCGCGGGGAAAAAAAGATCTTGCAAAGTTGGAATTGATTGATTGAACTTTTTAGTCCCACCCAGTCTGCCGTTACCACTGCAGCCACGCCCACCCAGTGGGCCACGCCCACCTAATGGGTCATGCCGACCCGGCACCCGATGATGCATAAGTGGGTTTTGGGTTGCAGTTTGGGCACTCGGTCTCTAAAAGGTTCGCCATCACTGCTTTATGCTCTCCTTTCCTGTTTCCCAGCCATTGTAGTTGCTTCTCCACTCAGAAAATTTCCACTGCAGCAAATTCAATTTTAAATTTCTCTTTCAATATTAAATTTTTGAAGACCTTTCCTTTACTTCTATCAGTAGGACCATATTATTTAATTATTTGAATGTTGCCCTTACCATTTCTGTTTTTTTCCCCCCACTCAGGGTGATGGTTTATTCATTAAGAACGGACGGATTATCAACGATGACCACTCCTTCTACGCCGATGTGTACGTGGAAGACGGACTTATAAAGTTAGTGTCGAAACCCTGAAATTTGTTTTGCACGTTCTGTGATACAAAAAGATGCAGCTTCTGGCCTACTTGCTCTGGTTAACAGCTTCGGATTTAAAAGATGACACCTGGAGAGACAAAAATCAGAAAGCGACGAGGTTAAACGATTGTAAGGGACTCCTCGATTTACAACAGTTCATTTAGTGACCATTCAAAGTTACAACGGCACTGAAAAAACTGACATGCCCATTTTTTACACTTAGGACGGTATAGCAGCCCCACGGCCATGATCAAAATTCACATGCTTGAGAACTGACTCATATTAATGACAGTCTTCCGGGGTCATGTGATCCCCTTTTACAACCTTCTAACAAGCAAAGCCAATGGGGGAAGCCAGATTCACTTAACAACCAGGATACTAACTTAACACCTGCAGTGATTCACTTAGCAACGGTGGCATGAAAGGTTGTAAAAATGGGGGCAAAATTCACTGAACAAATGTCTCACTTTGCAGCGGACATTTGGGGGCGACGGTCGTAAGTGTGAAAAAGTGGTCATAAGTCCCTGCTTTCAATGCTGTTGAGACTTTGAATGGTCACCAAATGAACTGTTGTAACTTGAGGACTATCTATAGTTAGTTTATTTCATGTAAGCAGTGCTTAGCTGGATTCTTGAGGCCGAGGGCCTCAGTGCTTCGTAGCAAATATTTTCAGTCGAAAAACACAGTTCTTTCGGGAATCCAGGCACTTGGTGCTTGTTTTTTAGGGCTGAACCCAGCACGGCGATGCTGCAGACAATCCTTTAAAGGTGAAATGTATATTTGAAATGTTTCGAGCCCTCCGTCAATAAAAGAGTAAGTAGCTCTGTTTTCTTCCTGCTCAGACAAATTGGAGAGAATCTGGTTGTCCCTGGAGGCCCAAAAACCATCGAGGCAAGCGGCTTTATGATTCTCCCAGGGGGCATCGACAGCAACACTTATCTGCAGAAATCCGTTCAGGGCTTAGCAGCAGCTGATGACTTTTATCAAGGCACGAAGGCTGCGTTGGCTGGAGGCACCACCACCGTCAGTAAGTATCGGAGCCAGACCCACAACAGGTGAGGTTCAACCTCTCCACAGGCATTTCTGTGGAGATTGTCCATCATCCAGGTCACGGTTATCCCCAAAGTTTTCCTTTTCCAAAAGGCAACTGGCCTTTCTGGGGTTTTTTTCCCTTTGAAAACATTTCACGTCTCGTCCAAGAAGCTTCTTTACTTTGCTTCTTGGACGAGAAGCAAAACCTCTTCAAGGATAAGTCCCGAACCCCTCGACTGCTGCACTGCTGCGCAGGACCGGAAGTCTACACAGCTTCTTATTTACCACAAATCACCCCGATCCTTATCTCTGAGTTTTCTAAACTTCCAAAACTGTGAATCCGGCAGCGAGGTGGTCACACCACAAGATCTTCAAATATTGATGAGTAATTTTTCAAGCCTCTGGAAACCGAATGGTTCACCCGGCTGACGTTAATTCAAAATGTGCCCAAATCCGCGATTTGAGCGGGAGCTCTCTGTCTTTTGCAGTTGACCACGTCCTTCCGGAGCCCGGCTCCTGTTTATTAACGGTGTTTGGAAAGTGGAAAGAGGCAGCAGAGAGCAAATCCTGTTGTGATTATTCTCTGCACGTGGACATCACCGACTGGTATGATGGGATCCAGGAAGATCTGGAAAATCTGGTGCACAACAAAGGTTTGTTTGCAATAGTGGTGAATATCTGTAGCTCGGCTGGAGGATGAGGATGGAGGTTCGTTCTCTGAGCTTCTGGGTTGGTTTCCGAACGTTTCTGGATAACATCTTCAGTGGAGTTTAGGGGACGTCACTATCCGTGTTCTTCTGTTTGTAAGGGCTTCAGGTGTGGGTGTGTCAAGTGAGGATCCCACAAGACTCATCATAAGCTTCTCACTGATGAGTCACACTTGACCCATCAGAAGACCCATCAAAGACCCTCACTTGACACACCCACACCTGAAGCCCTTGTAAACAGAAGAACAAGGACACTGACATTCCAGACACGTGGTGACGATTAGCAACTGACTCACATTTATGACTGTTGTAGTGTCCCGGGGGGCATGGGATCCCCCCTTTGCTACTTTCTGACAAGCAAAGTCAATGGGAAAATCAGATTCCCTTTAACAACTGCAGTGATTTGTTGAACAATTGTAATAAGAACATTCGTAAAAGGGAGCAAAATTCACTTAGCAAATGTCTCATTTAGCAACAAAAATTTTGGACTCCGTTGCGGTGGTAAGTTGGGGGCTGCCTGCGTTGTCAGAATTAAAGGTTTGCGTCTTGAAGGCATGCAAAGGTTGTAATGCAACACACAAGTCTGACAGAAGATGATCACTCACCTTGTTTGAAAAAGTATAGAGACGTACAATTGTGTTCATTCTGGGTTTTTTGTTTGTGTGTTTTGTTTTGTGCATTACATTTCATTGTATTAACACTTGAATTAACACTCTATATAGCCATTTTGTGATTGTGCGCACTTGAACCTATGCTACCTAAAAAAATAGCTTATCTCTGTTATGTAGGAAGTGAATTGATAGTTTATTGGTCCCAAATAAAACAGTCTCTCTGTGTTTTATTGGTTGAACTCTGTGTTTATGGTACCAGGTAATCCTAATCCCTTTATATTGTATGAATTAATTAATTCATTTTTTTTATCTTAATAGGTATCAATTCTTTCCAAGTCTACATGGGCTATAAAGATCTCTACCAAATGACCGATTCCCAAGTATGTATTTTTTTTTTTCTTACGAGATTTGAAATCTCATGTCGGTCTGATTTTTAACTAGGATGAAGTGGATAGCATTTGCCAACCGTGTTTTATTTTTCGTTCAGCTGCCTCTTCTCTTTTGGTTCGTGAGTTGAGTTGGGCCCCCATTTTATTCTGAAATAGGATTCTGCTCTCTTTATGATTCTGTTGCAGGATTAGGGCAATTTTAATTGAGAATATAGACGTTATCCAATGCTTGGACTGCTATTTTCAGAATGATTGTCTTTCAACTGAGCCAAATTGCCAGATCCTCAACTAATATCCTAAGGCAAAATTTAATGAAAATCTCATATTGTTAAGATTATTCTCCTCTGGTGATAGATTAGCAACAGCAATGGCATTTAGACTTATATACCATTTCGTAGTGCTTTACAGCCCTCTCTAAGCAGTTTACAGAGTCAGCCTCTTGCCCCCAACAATCTGGGTCCTCATTTTATCAACCTCGGAAAGATGGAAGGCTGAGTGAATCATGAGCTGTCAGAATTGAACTGCTGACAGTCAGTAGAGTTTGCCTGCAATACTGCATTCTTGACAGAGGCGATCCTGCAGATAATCTGGTCTGTGTCATGCAGGACTTTAAAGATGAAAACAACAATATGTTGTATATTATGTCTTGATAACCTTGATATCTGGACATCTTGAGAGTTCATCCAGTCTGGGCCACACAACGTGTGTCTTTAAACGTGTCCATCAACAGGTCATCAAGGGGGGGGGTCAGTTGGGAGGGTTAGAAATGTGCAGGATGAAGGATATAGAATTGAGTCTTCTAGGCTGGATCCCTAGAAAACATCCCTTTCTAGATGGTTTGTGTGACTGATTTTTTTTACTTGAAGCTTCTATTGGCCAGGAAGGGAGACGAGAACAGAGGTTAAAAAAAAAAATCTCCCCAGAAAGAACTTAATCCATTTTGCCAGTGAGGAGATAATGAATATACATCATGAAGTTTGCCTTTTTTGGATCTGATGTTATCTTAAGCTGAGAGAACAGAAAACATGTAAAAACCACTCTTCTTCTTCTTCTTCTTCTTCTTCTTCTTCTTCTTCTTCTTCTTCTTCTTCTTCTTCTTCTTCTTCTTCTTCTTCTTCTTCTTCTTCTTCTTCTCCTTCCTCTTCTTCTCTTCTTCTCTTCTCCTCCTTCCTCTCCTCCTCCTCCTTCTTCCTCCTCTCCTCCTTCTTCTTCTCCTCCTCCTCCTTCTCTCTTTCAATTGCACACAGCTCTACGAAGCATTTACATTTCTGAAAAGTCTCGGAGCGGTTATCATGGTGCACGCAGAAAATGGGGATTTGATAGCTCAGGTGAGAAACATTCATTCATAAATGAAAACAACACATCCTGATCTCTCCAGGAAGCCTCCACCTGCTTCCTGTGGTTTGGGGATCTCAGCCCCTGCCCCTCCCCAGGAATGACCGTGGCCTCTTCTGTTTCAGGAGCAAAAGCGGGTGCTGGAGATGGGAATCACAGGGCCAGAAGGACATGCTCTGAGCCGTCCTGAGGAGGTGAATGTTCCTGCATTTCTTCCAGAATCCCTTGAGATGTAAAAAGAAGTTTAGATTCTAGGGAGATTCTCAGTCATTGAGGTCCTGGTTGTCCCAAAGGTGCCCTTTTCAAGAGGCAACTGGACTTCCTTGTTTTTCTTTGGAGACGTTTCGCTTCTCATCCCGGAAGCAGTTATTCTGTGAAAAACTACAGGGAAGGTCATTAAAATGTGAGTGTCAGACATTGAAAATCAAAGCCTTGGCAGTAGCAAAAAGGACTTGTTAATAGATCTGGAGAGAAAGACTCTGTTAAGTCTTTGACCGAGATGGGCAACCATAGAAATTTAACAAATAAACAAAAATAATTAATGTGAACGTTCTGGATGGTAATGACGCTTGGACTTCCTTTGTTTTTATCGTTCAGCTGGAAGCAGAAGCCATATTCCGGGCTATCACTATAGCTACTCGGATCAACTGTCCGGTCTATATCACTAAAGTTATGAGTAAGAGTGCTGCTGATGTAATCTCGCTGGCTAGGAAGAAAGGTACGGGGGTTCAGGTTTTCTTCACGAATGCATATAGTTCTCTTTCACACACATGGTCTCAGTTTAAAATAACATGACAGGAATTAGAAAATTTTATCAAAGCCTGGCACTCCACAAGCAACTCAACAGGCGTATCAATCTACAATCAGCCTACGAACCCCTCAGAATCCAAATCAACCGCATAGCCAACCAGAGATGGTACCGACCTCAACGATCCCGCGCAATCCCCCGAACCAGCACTTCTCCCAATGACCCTCACTGAAGTGACCTCCCCATCACAAGACTGTCACCTGGCATGACCCACACCTGACCCATCACAAGACCCATCAAAAGACCCTCACTTGACACGACCCACATCTGACCAGTCATGAGACTCGTCACTAGATCCATCACAAGACCATCCCCTGACATGACCTCCCATCCCAAGACCCCTCACAAGACCCTCACCTGACATGACCTACACCTGAACCATCATAAGATCCATCACTAGATCCATCACCTGACCCAAACCTGATGTGACCTCCCCATTAGCACACCTGTTAACCACATGAAGCTCTTACGAGCAGAAGAACACTGACATCGACAACCCCTAAACTCCGCTGAAGATGTTACGTAGCCTGGCAACGAAATGTTTGGAAACCAACCCACAAGCTCGAAGAATGGATCCTACAACCGAGCTACCGATATTCGTAAAATTAGAAAACTATATTGTGGATTTAATTACTAAGCATGAAAACCAATGGGATTACAGCCGGTGTTTTTAATACCAGAATAGAATAGAGTAGAGTAGAGTAGAGTAGAACAGAGTAGAAGAGAAGAGAAGAGAACAGAATAGAACAGAATAGAGCTGGAAGGGACCTTGGAGGTCTTCTAGTCCAGTCCCCTGCTCAAGCAGGAGAACCTATACCATCTCAGACAGGTGAATGTCCAGTCTCTTCTTAAAAATCTCCAGTGATGGAGCACCCACGATTTCTGAAGGCAAAGCTGTTCCACTGGCTGATTGTCCTCCCTGTCAGGAAGTTTCTCCTTAATTCCAGGTTGGTTCTCTTCTTGATCAGTTTCCAACCATTGTTTCTCGTCCTTCCCTCTGGTGCTCTGGTGAACAACCTGGCTCCCTCTGCCTTGTGGCAGCCCCTGAGATACTGGAACACTGCTATCATGTCTCTCCTATTTCTTCTTTTCTTTAGACTAGTCTCTAGATTACATTAGATTAGACTAGACTAGACTAGACCAGATTAGACTAGACTAGACTAGACTGGATTAGATTAGATTAGACTAATTAGACTAGACTAGACTGCATTAGATTAGATTAGACTAGACTAGACTAGACCAGATTAGACTAGATAGATTAGACTGGGTTAGATTAGATTAGACTAGGCTAGGCTAGACTAGACTAGACTAGACTGGATTAGATTAGATTAGATTAGACTAGGCTAGGCTAGGCTAGGCTAAACTAGACTAGATTAGATTAGATTAGATTAGATTGGATTAGACTAGACTAGACTGGATTAGACTAGACTAGACTGGATTAGATTAGATTAGACTAGACTAGATTAGACTGGATTAGACTAGACTAGACTGGATTAGATTAGATTAGATTAGATTAGACTAGATTAGATTAGACTAGACTGGACTAGACTAGACTAGATTAGAAGAATTGGGTTAGAAGTGTGAGCTGTCTTGTTACAAAGTAGGAAAGGGGCAAGAAATTGCTGTCATCTGAGCCAAGAGCGCTGCTAGAAGGATTATGGCTGTAGCACACCCTCATTCCTTTGACCTTCCTATCCAGATTTTTAAGATCATGAGAAAGAAAGGCAGGGACCTAACTAGGACTGTTTTGTTTTTTTCTCCACTCCAGGTGCTCTGGTATTGGGGGAACCAATCACGGCCAGTCTGGGGACTGATGGGACCCATTATTGGAACAAGAATTGGGCTAAGGCTGCTGCATTTGTGACCTCGCCACCCCTGAGTCTGGATCCTACCACCCCTGACCACTTGACCTCACTTTTAGCTTGGTAAGAAATGTCAGCTGTTGGTCCTCAATCTCTCCCTTCTCCAGATTTGCCAGAGGCTCTATAATTCTACATTTTAGTAGTTAATTTTAATGAATAAGGATGGCGCTTTTGATCGTATTTCTTCTATGTATCGCTGCTCCTTGTTTATTTTTAGATGGGCTGGATATTTGAAAATTATTTTAAGTAAGTACGTCAGAAGTAAGTCAAGGGTGGCTCTTGAGTGGCTGCAGAGCTTCTGTCTGAATTGATTCCATTTAGATTCTTAACTGAGTGGAAAAATTGGACTCCGTGGCTTAAATGGCCCTTCTGTAATAATGATAATAAAGTTGGAAGGTACCCTGGAGGTCATCTAGTTCAACCCCCTTCTCAGCGAGGAACCCTATACCATTTCGGACAAATGGCTGTCCAGTCTCTTCTTAAAAACTCCCAGTGTTGGAGCATTCACAACTTCTGGAGGCAGGTAGTTCCATTGGTTAATTGTTCTAACTATCAGGAAGTTTCTCCTTAGTTCTAGGTTGCTTCTCTCCTTGATGAGTTTCCACCCGTTGCTTCTTGTCCTGCCTTCAGGCACTTTGGAGCATAGCTTGGCTCCCTCTTCTTTGGGGCAGCCCCTGAGATATTGGAACACTGCTATCCAGTCCCCCCTCGTCCTTCTCTTCATTAAACTGGACATTCCGAATTCCAGCAGCCTTTCCTTATATGTTTTAGCCTCCAGTCCCCTAATCATCTTTGTTGCTCTTCTCTGTACTCTTTCCAGAGTCTCAGCATCTTTTATACATTGTGGTGACCAAAACTGGATGCAGGATTCCAAGTGTGGCCTTACTAAGGCCTTGTACAGTGGTATTAACACTTCACGTGATCTTGAGTCTATCCCTTCTTAATGTAGTCCAGGACTGTGTTGGCCTTTTTGGCAGCTGAATTCTATGACTTTATAACTTTCCTTCTCAAAGAACTTTCTGGTGAGTTAAGTGCTCACTGAAGTGAAATATAAAAACCAGAAACAGTTTAAAAAAAAAAGCAGTAATGATGGTCAAAGAGTACAGCTAGGCCTCGACTTACAACAGTTCATTTAGTGACCGTTCAAGGTTACAACAGCACTGAAAAAGGTGCCTGATGACCGTTTCTTTCACCCTTACGACCGTTGCAGCATCGTCACATGATCAAAACTCGGATGCTTGCCAGTTGGCTCACATTTTTGACGACACTGCAGTGATTCACTTAACAATTGTGGCCAGAAAAGTCGTAAAATGGGTCAGGACTCATTTCTCACTTAACAGCATAAATTTGGGGCTGAAGTGTGATCGTAAGACGAGGACCGCCTGTATAGATCACAATAATGTTGCAGCTTCAATTGTGAGAAACGAATATTGAATATTGAATATTGAACGTGGCCCCTCCATGGATCCTGACTGTCCACACACCGATTTTATGTGTATCTCTTTTCTTTCAGTGGGGACCTGCAAGTGACCGGGAGCAGCCACTGTACTTACAGCACAGCACAAAAGGCTGTGGGCAAGGAAAACTTCGCCCTCATCCCAGAAGGGGTTAATGGAATTGAAGAAAGGATGACGGTGGTCTGGAATAAATGTGTGGTAAGTGGAATATATAGGAAAAGATTAATTACACCATCTTATCTGCACAAAAACACATCTATGTCTGTTACTATGAAGGGTTAATGCCGCTTTACAAGGCCTTGGTAAGGCCACACTTGGAATACTGCATCCAGTTTTGGTCACCACGATGTTGAGACTCTAGACAGAGTGCAGAGAAGAGCAACAAAGAGGATCAGGGGACTGGAGGCTAAAACATATGAGGAACGGTTGCTGGAATTGGGTAGGTCTAGTTTAAGGAAGAGAAGGACGAGGGGGGACAGGATAGCAGTCTTCTAATATCTCAGGGGCTGCCCCAAAGAGGAGGGAGTCAAGCTCTTCTCCAAAGCGCCTGAAGGCAGGACCAGAAGCAACGGATGGAAACTCATTAAGGAGAGAAGCAACCTAGAACTAAGGAGAAACTTCCTGATCGTAGAACAATTAACCAGTGGAACAACCTGCCTCCAGAGGTGGTGAATACTCCAACACTGAAAGTTTTTAAGAAGAGATTGGACAACCATTTGTCCAAAGTGGTATAGGGTTTCCTGCCTGAGCAGGGGGTTGGACTAGATGACCTCCAGGGTCCATTCCAACTTTACTATTATTATTACTACTACTACTACTACTACTACTACTATAGCACTGTCTTTAAATTCTGATTAGTCTACAGGTAAAATGGATGAGAACCAGTTTGTTGCCATTACTAGCACCAACGCTGCCAAAATCTTCAATCTGTACCCGCGAAAGGGCAGGATTCAGGCTGGTTCTGATGCTGACCTTGTTATTTGGGATCCCGACAAGGAGAAGACAATCACAGCAAAAAGTCATAAATCGGTAAGACGGAACCTCTCAATGAATGATGATGTAAAATTGGATGCTTTTCAAAAGCTCCAGCTCTTAAAATTTTGACTCTTGATGAAATCTTAATTCTTTTTCCCCAGTAAAAATTTCAAGAAGAATTAAGGAAGTGGAATATTAAGAAAGGTTTATTTCACTTACAAAGGATTGTTTTGTTCCTTCCAGTCAAAGATCTGTGATTTTGTTTACACATCCTTGTTACATGGTTAGAAAGGAAGTGAAATACAGTGATTAAAATATGCACTATCTCTCTCTCTCTTTCTCTCTCTCTCTCTCTATATATATATCTCTATCTATCTATATTTATCTATCTCTATCTCTATCTATCTATTATATCTATTATATCTATCTATCTATCTCTATGTGTTATATCTATCTATCTATCTATCTATCTCTCTATCTCTATCTCTATCTATCTCTATTTATCTATCTATCTATATCTATCTATCATCTATCTATATCTATCTATTATATCTATTATATCTATTATATCTATCTATCTATCTATCTATCTCCATATCTATATCTATCTTTATCTCTATATCTCTATATCTATCTGTCTCTCTCTGTGTGTGTATGTGTGTATGTGTTAAATCTGGATTGCTAACAAAGAGTTAAAGGGAAGCTCCTGAGAGCTAAGAAGCTTGAAATAGCTATACCCGCTTCCCTTTAACTCTTTGTTAGCAATCCAAATTTAACACAAAAATGATTGTCGCAGTATGACTGCTGCCTCTGGATACCCCTAGATTGGGGTTGATACAGGCAAAAAGATTTCTTCTTCCCATATTTGGGCCGACCGGGTGCACCATAAAAAAACACACTTAAAACATATCTATATCTATATCATCTATCTCTATATCTTTATATCTCTGTCTCTATCTATCTATCTCTCTATCTCTCTATCTCTCTATCTCTCTATCTATCTATCTATCTATCTATCTATCTATCTATCTATCTATCTATCTATCTATCTATCTATTTATCTATCTATCTACTGGTCTACCTGCCCCAGTTGGCCGTATTACTTCTAATAGTCTCGCATCCGTCCGTGTGTTCCTATTTCTCGAACTGCATTAATGCATCACAAAGCAGGCCTATATATATTCATTAATAACAATATATTGTTGCCATTGTTTAGGCTGTTGAATATAACATTTTTGAAGGGATGGAATGCCGTGGGGCTCCGCACATAGTTATTAGCCGAGGGAAGATTGTGTTCGAGGATGGGAACCTGTCCGCCAGAAAGGGCACGGGGTCTTTCCTCCCACGAAACGCCTTTCCCGAGTATCTTTATCAACGGATCAAAACGAGGAATAAGGTATGTCTACTGGCTTCCTTGTAGTCTTCCAACATTACACTGTAGTACACAACTTGCTTTCATGAATTACAGGTAGTCTGTAATTTACCATCACAGTTCAGGCCAAAACTTTACGTTGTTAAGTGAGACATTTTTAAGTGAGCTTTGCCCCATTATACGACTTTTCTTGCCACGTTTGTTAAGCGAATCACCACGGTGGTTAAATTAGTAATATGGCTGTTAAGTGAATCTGACTTTCCCCAGGGATTTTGCTTGTCAGAAAGTCACAAAAGGGAACCCCCATGACCCTGGGACACTGCAACCATCATAAATGTGAGTCAGTTGTCAAAACATATGAAGAATGGTTGCAGGAATTGGGTATGTCTAGTTTAATGAAAAGGAGGACGAGGGGGGGGACGTGATAGCAGCCTTCCAATATCTCAGGGGCTGCCCCAAAGAAGAGGGAGTCAAGCTATTCTCCAAAGCACCTGAAGGCAGGACAAGAAGCAGCGGATGGAAATTAACCAAAGAGAAAAGCAACCTAGAACTAAGGAGAAACTTCCTAACAGTGAGGACAATTAATCAGAAGAACAACCTGCCTCCAGAAGTTGTGAATGCTCCAACACTGGAGAAGAGATTGGACAACCATTTGTCTGAAATAGTATAGGCCAGGGTTTCCTGCCTGAGCAGGGGGCTGGACTACAAGACCTCCAAGATCCCTCCTATCCTATCCTATCCTATCCTATCCTATCCTATCCTATCCTATCCTATCCTATCCTATCCTATCCTATCCTATGAATACATGTGTTTTCTTTCTGTGCTCAGCAGATGGCAGAATTACAGGGTGTTTCTCGAGGGATGTACGACGGGCCGGTCTATGAAGTTTCAGCAACTCCTGCAAAATACGCCACCCCAGCTCCCTCAACGAAAACGTCGCCTGCCAAAAACCAGCCTCCACCAATCAGAAACCTCCATCAGTCTAATTTCAGTTTATCAGGTGATTCTGAAATCTTTGGAAAAACGGAATGCTTGCGGAAAAGGTTTGCCCCCACTTGAGACATTTAAGATGGGGTTACTGCCCTGCTCGGGTGGGGGGAAATGGGGTGTGGGTGTGTCAAGTGAGGGTCTTACCCACTGATAATTCACACTCGGACCTCAGGTAAACTCCCCATCCCAAGCCTCTGATGATTCACACCTGACACACCCACACCCAAAGCCCTTACAAACAGAAGAACACTGACACTGCCATCCCCTAAACTCCGCTGAAGACGATACCCAGCTTGGTAGCGAAACGTTCGGAAACCGAACCACGAGCTCGGAGAACGAACCTTCACCCTCATCCTAGATCCAGGCTACAGATATTCGCCACTACTGCAAAATTTTACAGTCATTTTAAATCATCGATGTTTAATCTATACACCAGAATGGTTCTTCACCTTTTTGGGGCAACATCTGTCTGCTACAGAAAAATGAGGAGCAAATCTCATTGTGTTTGGACAGTGCTCCCTGTCTGCCCGCACGGGCCTGATCAGGTTAAATAAATTGGTGGACACCCCCACCATCTCTCCCCATTTTGAGAAGCCCGGATCTAAGCCATGCGGAAGATCTTGTCAGTAGTCCAAACGCCACACTAAGAGAGGGTTAAGTTTGGGTTGCTCTTTGCTCAGAAAGGAAGGATTCTCATGCATTGCCGAGGATTAAACTTCATGCTTTCTGAAATGCTCTCCTGCAGGGGCTCAAGTAGATGACCACAATCCTCGCCGGACTGGACACCGTATTGTGGCACCACCAGGAGGCCGCTCCAACATCACGAGCCTCGGTTGAGCATAGATGGAAGTTGGAAACGAAGAATGAACGCTCTTACTCCTCCTCGACATCCGTGTTCCTTAGCCCATATTTCATTCATTGCTATGCGAGAAAAAATGGTCTGTCTTCAGAAATAAGTGTCATAGTGTGATGTGTTTGCTTGGAATGAATCACCTTGGTTGTGTTTGCCATCTTAAAAAGCATGGTTCTCCCAGTGCTTGGCGAGCAGCGGTGCTGCTCGTAGCTTTGCTTGCAGTAGAGTTGCCCCTTTGCCCCTTCCCACCCTTTTCTCCCTTAGTTGTGCTAGATTAGGCAATGCATGTTGCCGACGAAGCAAGTTGCGTCTTGCGCGTCTGCTTTAGAGCAAGGCCGCCTTGCCACTTTGGATTAGGCACGAGGTCAAGGCGTGATGTTCCGTTAAAGGAAGACACTTATGGACGTCTTACAAATATGCAGTAGAATTTTTGTTGGTGTACATTTTTACTCATAACAGACCCCATGAAGAATAGAGGAGGGGGGAGCAATAGGCTGTGATCTTCTCAGTCGAGTCAAACTCTTGTCTGACTTTAGGAAAAGCCATTATTAATTCATGTGGTGACCGTAGAGGATTTTCATAGACGGTCATCTTTACAGGCCAGTTTTGGTACTTGTAAACGTTTCCAATGTTTGTTGGGTTTTTAACGTTTTTTTTTTGTACGGAAAGTTTTTCCCCACCTCCTTATAGGTAGTGGTTATTTATTACAATGTGTCAAATTTAGTAGTTGTGGCTCATTTTTTTAAAACACTGGTGAAATAAAAGAACATGAAATAATTTGACTCTTTTTTATTTGTGCATAATCAAAACAATTGCCATTCGGTATGTGGTGCATCCTTGAGAAAACTCAGAGCTGACAGGAACTAAACAGCAACTGAATAAACTGGCTGGGGACCACGGACCAGAACCTGTTTCACTGCAGTAGTCTTTGTTTACAGCAGCGGTTCTCAACGTTTGTGTGACGGCGACCCCCGTCACACAAACGTTATGCGCATGCGCGGCGCGCCGCGCATGGGGGTGGGGCCCCTGCGCGCCGCGGGCATGCGCACCGCCGCCCCCATGCGCAGCGCGCATGCACGGCGCCACCCCCCGGAGGTGCGCCGCCGCCCCCACGCGCGGTGCGCGTGCGCGGTGCCGCCCCCCTGGAGGCACAGCGCGCCCCCGGAGAGGACAAAATGGCGGATCGCCGCCTTTGGCGACCCCCGAAAAGAGGTCGATCGACCCCAAATGGAGTCGCGACCCATAGGTTGAGAACCGCTGGTTTACAGGCTCACAGTTTAAAAGACTAATAGAGTAACAGATTTGAAAGAGACCTTGAAGGTCTTCTAGTCTAGCCCCCTGCACAAGCAGGTGACCCTATACCAGGGGTAGGCAACCTTGGCTCTTTTATGACTCGTGGACTTCAACTCCCAGAATTCCTGAGCCAGTCCACGAGTCATAAAAGAGCCAAGGTTGCCTACTCACCCACCATTTCTGGAGGCAAGCCTGCCAAATAATTGTCCTGTTTGGCCATAGCCCTTAGACTTATATACCGCTTCATAATGCTTTACAACCCTCGTTAAGTGGTTTACAGAGTCAGCCTCTTGCCCCCAACAATACCGGCCTCAGAAGGAGGAGTCAACCTTGAGTCAGTCTGGATGAAAGTGCTGGCAGTCAGCAGAATTAGCCTGCAGTACTGCATTTTAACTACCACATCACCATGGCTCATAGTTTTTTTTTTTTTTAGTTGCAGGCTGCTTCTCTCCTTGACAGGTTTCTACTTGTTGCTTCTTGCCCTGCCTTCAAGTCCTTTGGAGAACAGCTCAACTCCCTCTTCTTTGTGGCAGCCCCTCAAAATATTAGAAGACTGTTGTCGGGTCACCCCTATTCTGTCTTACGACAGTGATGAAGATGTAGGTTACGACCATTGCCTACATTACTTCCAATGCTTGTATGGACCACCCTGGCAGCTCCTCTCTCTCTCTCTCTCTCTCAGTCACAGTGGGCCTGTCCACAGGACAGTGAGATTGGAGAGAAAGGGATCGCAAGAGTTAAAAAAAAAACAGGCTGTGGGAAACGCACGGGACTGCAGCAGTAGCTGCAGGTCTACAAGCTCTCTTGCGATCCCTTTCGCTCCAAACAACGTAGAAGCGGCCACCATCCTGAGCCCCTTCCCAGCACCGCGCTGAGCCTTCTCAAGGGATCCAAGCACGGCCCTTTCATTGCGTTCCTCCAATACAAGGCAGGGCGTCGTCGCCCCAAACGGCCTGGAGGGAGACAGGTGGCCGGCTATTCAGCCTGTTCCCTCCCCCCTGCTGCCCTCGGGAGCCCGACTCGCTTCTCATGCCGCTCTCTCTCCTCTTTCTCCACTCTCCCTGATTGCGCGCGCAGCTCCGGCCTGGTTTTTTTTTTTTTTTTTTTTCCCCTCCCCCTGCTGCACTCGGGAGCCCGCCGAGGCGCTTCTCGGGCCGCTCTCTCTCCTCTTTCTCTACTCTCCCTGCTTGCGCGCGCAGCTCCGGCCTGGTTTTTTTTTTTTTTTTTCCCCTTTCCCTGCCGCGCTCGGGAGCCGGCTTCGCTTCTCGGGCCGCTCTCTCTCCTCTTTCTCCACTCTCCCTGCTTGCGCGCGCAGCTCCGGCCTATTTCCGCCCCCCTCCCCCTGCTGCGCTCTGGAGCCGGCCTCGCTTCTCGGGCCGCTCTCTCTCCTCTTTCTCCATTCTCCCTGCTTGCGCGCGCAGCTCCGGCCTGTCCCCCTTCCCCCTGCCGCGCCTCCTGCTGTTCCCGCGCGAGCGAGCGAGGAGCGAGTGAGCCTCAGAGCGGCAGCGGCGGCGCCATGACGGCGGAGGAGCGCGGGGCTGAGGAGATGAGCGCGGCGGCGGCGGCGGCGGCGGCGGAGGGCCTGGACATCACGGCCAAGAGCGACGGCGGCGTCCTCAAGGTGGGCGGAGGCGCCCGCGGGCCCCCCCTCTCAAGCGCGGCCTGAGCGCCCGGCCTGGCCCCAGCCTCTCCCCGCGCGGGGCCGCGGCGCCCGCCTCCCTCCCTGGCCAGGCCCCGCCGAGGCGCCTTTCGGGCGGCAGGCCCGGCGGCTGCAGCGCTGGGAGCAGCCGGTCCAAAGGGCCGGGGCCGCCAGGATCGAGTTCGGGGGGGGGCAAGGAGGGGCGGTTAAGGGAATGGGGCGGCTGTGGGGGAGGGGGCACTTAAGGGGTGGGGGGGCTGTTGAGGGGATGAGGGGTTACTGGGGGTTTGGGTTCTATTGGGGTGGGGGTTGTTGGGTGGGGGGCTGTAAGGGGAGGTGGGAGGGCTATTGGGGGTTCTCTTAAGGGGTGGGAGGGCTATTGGGGGTTTGGGAGAGCTATTGGGGTGGGGGGCTACTAGGGGAGGTGGGAGGGCTATTGGGGTGGGGGGCTGTAAGGGGGTGGGAGGCTATTAGGAGAGTGGGAGGGCTATTGGGGTGGGGGGCTGTAAGGGGCGGTGGGAGGGCTATTGGGGTAGGGGGTTGTTGGGGTGGGGGGCTATTAGGGGAGGTGGGAGGGCTATTGGGTAGGGGGTTCTCTTAAGGGGTGGGGGGCTATAAGAAGAAGTGGGAGGGCTACTGGGGTGGGGGGTTGTTAGGGGAGGGGGGCTATTTGGGGAGGGGGAAGGCTATTGGGGTGGGGGTTCTCTTAAGGGGTGGGAGGGCTATTGGTTTGGGAGTGCTATTGGGGTGGGGGATTATTAAGGGTAGGGGGTTTGTTAGGGGATGGGGGCTGTTAAAGGTGGGGGTGGAGCCAGGCCTCTCAGCCTCCACCTCTCCCCCCTTTTCCTCTCTTCCTGGGCAGACAGAAAGTGACCCTTTGCGGTCCTCCTGCTCAGGACCGGCCAGTTCTCGCTTTGCAACCCCAGGTCGCTAAGCCGGTGCGCCAGGCTCTCTCCTGGCACCATAAAGGCATGTCCTGTCTGGCTTGGCTTGGCTTGGGTTTTGCCCACCGGTGGAGCGTGGCTTTCGGATGGGCACTTAAGTAGGGTCTGCTTCCTTCTCTCCCCCTGGCAGGTGGTCAAGAAAGAAGGGACGGGCACTGAATGCCCCATGATAGGGGACAAAGTGACCGTCCACTACACTGGATGGCTTCTGGATGGCACCAAGTTTGACTCCAGCCGGGACCGAAAGGACAAGTTCTCCTTCGATTTTGGAAAAGGTGGCGTCTCCCGTGGCTCCTCTGGTGGATAGCGGCTCTCTTCTTAATTTGCCATTTATTTCTATCCCACCTTTATTGTTTCAGAAATAGCTCAGCGTGGCCAACATAGCCAACACGCAGCCTCCTCCTATTTCATAGTAAATTATAATGCTAGTTTTCCTGTCCAGATTTCCGCAGGGAATTCAGTGGCCATCGTCTGTTCCACTGTACTGTGGACTGACTTGCACAGATATGATTTTATATGATCGATACTTATTTTTGGGACTGAATTCCGGGTATTATTTGATGGGGCCAATTGAAGGTGATAAAAACCACAACCCACTAAAACAGTGATGGCGAACTTTTTAGAGACCCAGTGCCCAAACTGCAAGCCAACCCCCCTTATTTATCACCGGGTGCTGGGTGGGTGTGACCGCAGTGGTCATGGCAGACTGGGTGGCGGGGGTCAGTCCCTCACCATATCCAGGGCATGGCACGCGTGCCCACAGAAAGGGCTCTGAGTGCTGCCTCTGGCATGCATGCCATAGGTTCGCCACCACTGCACTAAAACATTAATTCTCAAAATGCTGTGGGAAACATAGGGTGATCTTCAGCTTCTTAAAAGTGTGGAAAGAAACACTTACCTGGATGATGAGATGAGAAATCAGATGGCAAGATCTAGCCCTCAGATTAAAATCCTGACAGTCTTTTGCATAGTACAGGTGGTCCTTAACTTACAACAGTTCATTTAGTAACCGTTCAAACTTTACAATGTCAGTGGGAAAAAAAGTGACTTGGGAACCCTTTTTCACACTTCCAAATCACTGCAGCATCCCCACGGTCAAGTTACTCATTTATGACGGTTGCCCGTGGGATCACGTGATTACCCTTTTTGTGACAGTGGGAAGCCAAATTTACTTAATAACCATGTCAGTAACGTAACAGTACTGCAGGCCACTTTAGCTGACTGTGTTCAGCAGGTCAGCGGTTCAAATCTCACTGGCTCAAGGTTGACTCAGCCTTCCATCCTTCCAAGGTAGGTAAAATGAGGACCCAGATTGTTGGGGGCAATGTAAATATATATATACATTGCTTACTGGTGTACACCGCTTAGAGAGTGCTTGCACTTAAAGCGGTATGTAAGTCTCATAAATAAGTAAATAAATAAATAAACAACTGCAGTGATTCGCTTAAAAACTCTGCCAGGAAAAGTCATAACATGGGGCAAAATTCACTTGACAAGCTTAGCCACAGAAACGTTGGGCTCATTTGTGATCGTAAGTTCAAGGACTACCTGCGCTTGGCTGACCAAAGAGAGGGTGCAAATCAGGCCAGTAATAATATCTTCATTATTGTGATAAAAGATTTGTAATGCAAAGAGGACGTTTGTCTCGGCCCTCCTTGGAATGGAAGCCAAGGTTTGTGGCTCCTTCCCACAACAGTTTTGCCTCCTGGCAGACAGAAGGCAAGTGACGACGGCACCTCCTTACCAGAGCTGGCAGAAATGACTTTTTCACAGTTTCTCATCAAATGGTCCAGAAGAGAACTCTGTAGGGAAATATTTATATTTTCCAACAATTCCTGAAGGGCGGGACTCTTCTCTTGTTGAGGATAGTTGCCCTGTTTTTTGAGCAATCCCCGCGGGAGGAAGATGCGTCTCCCCTTGAGAAGTTCAGTTTGAGTAGCATGATCATTTTTTTTTTTTTTGTGCTCAGGTGAGGTGATCAAAGCATGGGACATCGTGGTGGGAACGATGAAGATCGGAGAAGTTTGCCAGATTGTCTGCAAACCAGAATATGCCTACGGCTCTGCTGGCAGCCCCCCCAAGATACCTGCTAATGCCACCTTATTTTTTGAGGTACGCTTGACGTGCACGTTGGACCAATGTAAGCTCTGCCTGCTCTCTCTGTGCTTTCCCTGCCCCCCAAGCTGTTCTCTGTTCCACAGGCCCTGTGGATGTCTTTCTTCTCCCCAACCTGGCCCAATGTGTCTTTTTCTCAGCTTTGTCCTCTCCTTATAGGGACCCCCCGCCACCTAATGTTTTATACTGGTAGTCCTCAACTTAACAGCGGTTGGTCTAGATCAGTGGTTCTCCACCTGTGGGTCGGGACCCCATTTGGGGTCGAACAACCATTTCACGGAGGTTGCCAAACAACGCAGTCCGCCATTTTTTCCCCCTTTTCCTTAGCTGTGCTACTCCCTTTTATTCTATTGGCTTTTGAAAGCCAATAGAAGAGACTCTCTTGAATAGAGTCTAATTCTCTTGGCTTTCAAAAGCCAATAGGAATTGTCCAGGCTGTCTCTGCTCTGCTGAGCCCGCCAAAAGTCCCATTCTGCAAACGGTGCTGCACCATTGAGTAGTCCTCGACTTACGACCGGTTGAGTAGTCCTCGACTTACGACCGGTTGGGGGTCGCGGCATTAAAAAGGTTGAGAACCACTGCTTTAGAGACTGCTCAAAGTTGCACTGGCACTGGAAGAAAGTGACTTAACCACCATTTTTCACCCTTACCTCCCACGGTCGCGTGATCGAAATTCAGATGCTTGGCAACTGGCCTGTACTTGTGACAGTTGCAGTGTCCTGGGGTCACATGGACCCCTTTTGGGGAGCTTCTGAGCAGCAACGTCAAGGGGAGGAAGTCAGATCAATTTTGCAACCGTGTTTCCCCGAAAAGTAAGACCCCCACCGGCAAATAAGCCCTAATCAGCCTGGTTTTTTTTTCAGGACGCTCGTAATATTAAGCCCCACCCCCCCAAAATAAGCCCCAGTTAAGATCAGCCAGACGGACGCATTTAGTGCCGTATTTCCCCCAAAATTAAGACCTAACTGGAAAATAAGCCCTATTGCATCTTTTGGAGCAAAAATTAATATAAGACCCGGTTTTATTTTGGGGGGGGGGGAGACACGTTCACTTGACATGTGCAGCAATTCACTTAACAGCCATACAGGAAAGGTCGTAAAATGGGGCAAAATTTGCTTAGCGAATTGTCTTGCTTAACAACAGAAATTTTGGGCTCAGCTGTGCTCGTACGTCGAGGACCCCCTGTAGTACAAAGGTGGGATACAAACCCAAGAAGCCAGCAGTTCTGTGATAGGGAATCTCTTCCTTAAATCAACTCCTTATTTTTTTTATTTCGTCCTTTCGATTGTGCTCCGCTCGCTGTCGTGCGTCTTTTTATTAAATCTGTATCTGATCCCTCCTCAGTGGGATCTTGCTTCCCTCTTGGTGCAACACAAGCCTCTGAATTCTTCCTTTAGATAGAACTGTTTGAGTTCAGGGGAAAAGACTTAACGGATGAGGAAGACGGGGGAATAATTCGTCGGATCCGAAAGAAAGGAGAAGGCTATTCGAAACCCAACGAGGGAGCCTTGGTAGAGAGTGAGTATCGGAAGAGCTGGGATGACTTAAACTAGCGGTGGAGCACTGTGGCCCTTTTGTGGCCTGTGGACTTCAACTCCCAGAATTCCTGAGCCAGTCCACAAGGCGTGAAGGGGCCATAGTTCCTCACCTCTGATTTAAAAACATATGCTGGATTATTAATTTGGATTTCAGGGCCCTGAAATCCAGATTAATAATCCAGCATATGGTTACATCTGTATAGTGTTGTGTTGAAATACAGGTGGCCCTTGACCTTTGCTTCTTCAGCCAGACTTACCCAAGGAACATCTGCCTATCATGTAGATGTTCCCTTTTTCTGTCCCATGTGCTCAATTATACTCATTATCTGAGGTGATGTCTCAGTTGTTCTTTCTTTCACTCTCCTGCACACATCTGTCTTTGGGGCTGTCCCAGGAGAAAATGTCACCATACCTCCTTCCTGCACTCACAGCATGCTGGGAAATATTAATGTAATTCCTTGCAGCTTTGGAGTGTGGCTTGCTACAGCGGTGATCCCCAACTAATAGAATAAAATAGAATAGAATAGATTTAGAATGGAATGGAATAGAATATAGAATACAATAGAATAGGAATATATTTAGAATAGAAAGTAGAATCAAATAGAAAGTAGAATAGAATAGAAACAAGAATAGAATTAGAATGGAACGGAATAGAATATAGAATAGAATAGGAATATAATTAGAATAGAATGGAAACTAGAATAAACTAGAATAGAAATTAGAGTAGAATGGAATGGAACAATATAGAATAGAATAAGAAGAATATAATTTAGAGTAGAATAGAAAGAATAGAGGATAGAATAGAAATAAGAATAGAACAGAATAGAATAGATATTGGAATATAGAATAGAAGAAAATATGGAAAGAATAGAATATAGGATAGAATAAGAATATAATTAGAATAGAAACTAGAATAGAATAGAGGATAGAATTAGAATGGAATAGAATAGAATAAGAAGAATATAATTAGAATAGACTATAATAAAATAGAAAGTAGAATAGAATAGAGGATAGAATAGAAATTAGAATAGAATTAGAATGGAATAGAATATAGAATACAATACAATAAGAAGGATATAATTTAGAATAGAATAGAAAGTAGAATAGAGTAGAGGATAGAATGGAATAGAAATGAATGGAATAGAATAGAATAGACTAGAACAGAATGCGGAATAAAATAGAATAACAGTCGGAAGGGACCTTGAAGGTCTTCTAGTCCAACCCCCTGCTTAGGAAGGAAACCCTCTACCATTTCAGACAAATGGCTGTCCAGTCTCTTCTTAAACCCTCCACTGATGGACCACCAACAACCTCTGGAGGCAGGTTGTTCCACTGGTTAAATTGTTTTGTCAGGAAATCTCTCCTTAATTCTTTCCTGCTTTATGGACTGGGGGGGGGGAAACCAAATGGTTCCAGGTGAGCGGCAAGTGCGCTCGTTCGCGTGCTGCCCCCATTTGCGCAAGCCCCTGCTGTGGTCCGTGGGTTGGGGGCCCCTGCTCCACAGAGTGAACGTCAGTAATCGGATCTGAACAATACGCTACTTTTTTGTGCCAGTTGAGATCGAAGGCCGGCACGGAGATCGCGTATTTGACCAACGAGCGTTGCGGTTTGAAGTAGGCGAGGCAGAAAACTACGACCTCCCTCCCGGCTTGGACAAAACGCTACAGAAAATGGAAAAGCTGGAAGAGGCCGTGGTTTATCTCAAGCCCAAGTGAGCCCTTTTGCCCTGAACTGGTCTTGGCTGAGTGGCCAAGCTCGACTTTGGGGAATGAAATGATGGGGGTGGCGGGGCCTGTACGTCAGATGCTATTTAAGGGAGAGATATTTTGCTCCTAAACATCTCTCGTGTCTCTTTAACAGCTACGGCTTTGGAAGTTTAGGGAAACCAAAGTTTCAGATCCCTCCCGATGCCGACTTGCAATATGAAATCAAACTCAAAAGCTTTGAAAAGGTACGTAAGGGAGCACCTCCACAGAGGCAGAGGGGATGGGGAGAGAATTGGCCTTAAGCAACAGGCACGTGCTTCATTTTTTTTTTGGTAATTTTAGCACATTCGTTTTTACTGAACCTTATTTGTTTCATTCAACTGCAAAGTGCACCATTACACATTGCGGTCCAGTACACGATGCGGGTTTTTAATGCCGTACGTTTACCGTTTAAAGATGTTCTCCCATCAGGAGTTTTAAGTTTGGGAGAAATCAAATGGTCCACGCAATAGGATTGTCTCTTTTCCTGTCAACTTCTGCTTGGTGTTTGATCAAACTGTCCTTCATTATTCATTTAATTTGTATGACTGCCCGTCTCCCCTAGTTGATTTTGGATAGGGGGAAGCGTGCTTAAAATGGTTAAGATAAAAATACATAATGTAAATGAAAGCTAACATGCACGAATAAAATGAGGATAATCACCAGCAGTATTTTGCGGGTTCACCCAGCTGCCTGCCCCCTATATATGGGAGAAATGTAGGGTATAAAAACCTTCCAAAAATTTCCAGCTCCCTTGTCTCTCTTTGACCTGAGGATTTCTGTCCGTGGGAATACGGCTTAGTACTTGTCTAAACCTGTTGCTGGTTCTCCTGAGTCTCACTGTTCCAGTTTCACATTGTGTAGTATCTTGCAATCCAGGATGATGCGCTTGCTGTCTTCCAAAGTTCCCACCACTTTTAACCCTCGTTGTCAGCATTTGGCACATTCCACAAAAGAAACTCCCGGCTCTTTAGATTAACCAAGAGTGTAGCTTTATTGAAAAATCCATCTAGGCACGACAGAAGCAAAGTCAGTTCTGGGATTTTCTCGCAAAAAAAAATCCACCTAAACTCCCCTTTTCCCCTCTGGGCCACCCACAGTTCATAGTTCACCAACTGAGTTCAGTGCTTTTGCTTTGGGAAAAGTGGTCAAAACATTCTTCATGGATCAGGTCTCCTCTGTTGCTAAGATCAAATGTAGCAGCACCCCTTCCCTCTTCATCCTTCTAGAACAGACATGTCAAACTTGTGATGTCACGCAGCGTATTGGGACTTTTGTCATTGCTGGCAGTGGGGTGGGCGCGGCTTCCACGTGATGCGTCCGGCCCACGGGCCAGCAGTTTGACACCCCTGTTCTAGAAGGCCAAATAGTTATCAAAGAACCAGGAGGACTCTGCAGTCTTGGGTGGAGTTGATTTTTCAACCGGTGTGTTCAGGTTGAAGTCTCCCATGATTCTTAGATCCCAACTCCTGATGCAGCGAAAAGCAAAACAAGGGCACAGGAATAAATTTCTCATGCTCAGCGTCTCCCTTAATGTTGCTAAGTGCCAATTGCGCTTGTCTATGCTGACTCTTGAAATCCCTTGTCCAGATTGTCTTCCGCTGAGATGTTCACTTACTCTGTGCCCTTCTTCCATGGGCGGTCTTCCACAAGCAAGGTTGCTGATTTGGCTCTTTTGTGTTTCCTCAGGCAAAAGAGCCCTGGGAGATGAACACCCAAGAGAAACTGGAACAAGGCAGCATTGCGAAAGAAAAAGGCACCCAGTATTTCAAAGTAAGTGTCAAGGTCCCGACTGGTGATCCCAACGAAGTAAGCACTGCTGAGGCTTTCCAATCTCTAATGCAAAACTTTATTGAGTGCACCATTTTGGCATAGATGACTAGAAAACCAGCTCTGGCTAATTGGTGCCAAATCAGTATATTAGAAGTATAGAAACTCCCCTCCCCACCGACAGCGCAGGTCACATTCCCCAATTAAGCTTCAGACAATTATTAGAAAGAGTCTCCTTAATAAACAATCTTGAATGACCTTGTGTCATGGTTCCCACAGATGAAACTCTTCAAAGAACTTTGAGGCATTGTTTACCTTAAAGAATCTTTATTTGAGAAGCATAGCATCCGCACTAACACAGTGGAAGTCAAAAAACTGAATTCCCCTCCCCTGAGCACATAGTATCAAAGCACAATTCCCTCCCCCAATTAACAGTCATAAATCACATTCTCCAATTAGTTTGAAATACAGGCTTCCCCTCCAGTTCTCCAGCCCGCCAATTCTTATCATCTCTTTACGTCTAGCTAAACTCTCATGCACCTTCCTCCCTCCAGCGTCATCTAACTCTAGCTCTAACTCTAAGAGTAAAACCTAAGGAGAAGAAAAGGGTTGCATCTCCATCTATTGTCAAAGCAAAAAACATCCAACGTTAGCAACGTTGTCACCCAGGTATCGCAGTTCAGCACCTGCAGTCCACATTCCACTCATTCCTGGGAGGTTTATCTGTGTCCTCAGTTGTCCCAAAGGGTTTTTTCAAGAGGCAACTGGACCTTCTTGTTTTTCTTTGAAGATGTTTTGCTTCTCATCCCAGAAGCTTCTTCAGCTCTGACTGGATGGTGGGGAAGGGAAGGATTTATACTCCTTGCAGAGAGCTGGTCATTTGCCTCCTTTTAGAGAGTCCTTGAGGCCACTTGGAGGTTCACCTGTGTCCTCAGGGTCACCTGAGTGGTGCAAATGGGTGTGGAGCCTTCTTGGCTGCAGGATGTTTTTTCTGCCCTGGATCCCTTCCGTGTTGGAGACAGGCGCAGGAGGTTGGCAATGAATCTGTGTTGTCTGCATCGCAAACTGAAGCGCAGATGGTCTGCAATGTTTTCTGGACATCCGTTCATCCTCCCGCACCCTTCGAAGAGAGTTCATCCCAAAGCGCCTAGCTAAGTGTCCATGGAGATTCTCCATCCTCCAGATCAGGGTTGTCCCAGAGATGCTTTTTTTCAGGAGGCAACTGGACTTCTTTGAAGACATTTCACTTCTCATCCAAGAAGCTTCTTCAGATCATTCCCTACCGTCCCGTCATGGTGGATGGACGAGAAGCGAAACGTCCTCAAAAGAAAAACAAGAAAGTCCAGTTGCCTCTTGAAAAAGTGTCCTCTTTGGGACAACCCTGACCTGGATGGTTGAGTATCCTCACAGAAACCTTCTGGGTTGGAGGTTCGGCTTTTCGTCTCCTTTGAATCTCACCCCAGGCTGACACCGGCCTTGCTTTTCCAGGATGGGAAATACAAACAAGCCACGTTACAGTACAAGAAAACCGTATCCTGGCTGGAGCACGAAACCGGCCTGTCGGATATGGAGAAGACAAAATCCAGGGACTTGAGGCTGGCCGCCCATCTCAACCTGGCCATGTGCCATTTAAAGCTGAAGGAGTATTCCCAGGTCTTGGAAAACTGCAATAAGGTAAAGGATGTTGCTCTTTGGGATGTCCAGGTGTGACATTCACTCCCTCGCGGTTGGCCTCCTGGAGCAACTCCGAACCGTTCCTGCCCTGTTTGCTATGGGTCGGGCCTTTGAGGGTCTGGGAAGGACAACACAAAACAACCAGCTGTCCTAAATCATTTGCAGGCGCTGGAACTGGACTGCAACAACGAGAAGGGTCTCTTCCGGCGAGGGGAGGCTCGGCTGGCCATCAACGACTTTGAGTTAGCCAGGGCAGATTTCCAGAAGGTGCTACAGCTCTACCCAAGCAACAAGGCAGCCAAAGTCCAACTCACGATCTGCCAGCAAAAGATCCGCGATCAGCACGAAAGAGAGAAGAAAATGTACGCCAACATGTTCCAGAGACTGGCAGACAAAGAAACCAAGGTTAGTGTACTCTTTGGAGTGAGCAGAGGAGCCCTGGGGGGGCGCAGGGGTGAGAAAGCAGCATTGCAGGCTGACTCTGCCCATTGCCAGCAGTTCGATCGTGACTGGCTCAAGGTTGGCTCAGCCTTCCATCCTTCCGAGGTTGGTAAAACAAGGACCCGGATTGTTGGAGGGGGGCAAGAGGCTGACTCTGTAAACCTCTTAGGGCGATAAAGCACTCTGAAGCGGTATATAAGTCTTAAGTGCTATTGTTCCTCCCTCCCACCATGGTGGCGCAGTGGTTAGAATGCAGTATTGCAGGCTAACTGCCCACTGCCAGGAGTTCAACCCTGACGGGCTCAAGGTTGAGTCAGCCTTCCATCCTTCCAAGGTCGGTAAAACGAGGACCTGGATTGTTGGGGGTCCTCCCTCCCTCCCTCCGACATCTGCCTCGCCTCGGTGGCACTGACAGGCCCTCTAGCAAGAGCCCGTGTGGCTGACAGCCCACTTCTGCATCTGCATGTGGCAGGAAGCCCCATTGCCCACCAGCCCTGCCGCCATAAGGCAGGCAGGTGGAGGAGGGGGTGGAGCTGCCCTTTAGGTGCCCAAACCCTTTGCCCAGATGGAGAAACGGCGGAGACGGGAAGCTCCATCTACTCGCAAACAGGGCGCTTGGAGACGGAGCGAATCGCTCGGCTTCTGAGCGCCCCATTTGCAAGCGGACGAAGCTTCCCATCTCCCTCTGGGCGAAAAAGTGTTTGGGGCGCATCCAGATCACCTGCCCCCCCCACCTTTGCCTCCGCCCTTGGACTTACCTGCACTGCGCCAAGGGGCCAGGAGACTGTGGCTGCTGCCGGACACCATTGGCCTACCTCCGTGCACCCGCTGCCACTTGTGGCCACTCTGTCCCCATCCCCGGGCTTATTTTTGGGGTAGGACGTATATTAGGCCCACCCTAAAAGGTCAGGCTAGGGCTTATTTTTGGGTGGGTCTTATTTTCAGGTAAACACGGTACTGGTGCGTGTGTGTGTGTGTGTGTGAGGTAGCTGTCCTCTTGTGCTTTCCGCCATCGAAAGGAGAACAGTCTCCATGGTGGGTGGGACCTGTATCTCAGGTAACTGCGGGAGTAGTCAAGTCCCGTGACTCTACTCCCACGTTAAGGCCTGACTGAGAAGAGTCTCCATGGTGGGTGGGATGTGTATCTCAGGAAACTACAGGAGTAGTCAAGTCCCGTGACTCTACTCCCACATTAAGGTCTGACGTTACCTTGGTCCCAGTGGCGAAGTCTGGTTTTTGCCAGCTCGGTGTTCATTCTAGTTGCCCCTCAGGGTTGACTTGGCTACCTTCCCTTTTGTTTTGCGTTGTGTTCCCAAGTCCTGAGGCTCTCCTTGTTTACACTGGCCACCGCTTCTCCGCCATTCCTTGGTTGTGAAAGGACCAGCCTGCCGGTCAAAACGACGAGTTGCAGAGGTCACCTGCCCTGCTGGTTAATCGATAAGCTGGTTTAATCAATTAAACCCCCACTCCCTCCCCCGTGACGCACAGGAGGCGCAAAGAAGTCAAAAATAGCGGCCCTTTTTCTGTAACTTCACGTGCAAGATGATGCAGGAGCGACTCCTGCAGAGGATCCAAAGCCCCTTTGGAGCGGTCGTGTGTTACCCATCACACCTGTTGGGGCCTTCTGAACAAAGTTGCCTCTTTTCCTGGCCTGGTACTGTAGCTTTGCACTCCCAGGAAATCAGCCTCTGTGGCTAGGGGTGGAGTCCCTGACAGGAGTGAGTGAACACACACACTACACACACACACCTGTTCCAAATGAAGAGAGAGAAAAAAAAAAAACGACTCCTCATTTCGGCTTTTTCTCCCTAACGCTTTTTCTCCAGCTGGGAGCCGATCCCGGGTGCAAAGAAGAGGCCGAGCTGAAAGAGGGCAAGCAGAACGGCGTGGAGGAGAAAACAGAAGTCGACATAGAGATTTGAGGCCGAAGGTCGACCCGTTAGTTTTCTAAAACTGAAGAGTTTCCAGTGATCTAGACCTTTATTTTTCTATCTGATTATTCAGTCGGGGGCAACGGCTGGGGGGCTGTTTAGCGTCTCTCTCTCTTTATCTCTCTCTCTCTCTCTCTCTCTTAGGGAACGGTGGCAGAGCAGGGCCAAGTAACGTTTGATGTGTTATTTATTCGGTCATGCATCCTTATTCTCTTGTGGTTGTTGATTCTCGGACGTTCCGTTAGGATCCCTTCTCTTTGAGTTTCCTCTCCTCCCTGGCAATCTTTCTCAGGGTCCCAGCTTGGCCTAATCCAGTTTCACATTTTACTCCCTTCCCCTCCTTTACTCTCCCCCTCCCCATTTTTAAAGAAAGTTTTATCTGCACATGCACACAGCTATTGCTGAGGGGCCTAAACACACAACAGTTCCCTTCTGCGGTCTCTCTCTCTCTCCCCCTCTTCTGTCTATCTACAATATCTGTTTCTCTCCCTCCCTCCCTCCCTCCCTCTCCCTCCTGTCTATCTACAATATCTGTTTCTCTCTCTCCTGTCTATCTACAATATCTGTTTCTCTCCCTCCCTCCCTCCCTCCCTCTCCCTCCTGTCTATCTACAATATCTGTTTCTCTCCCTCCCCTCCTGTCTATCTACAATATCTGTTTCTCTCCCTCCCTCTCTCCCTCTCTCCTCCTGTCTATCTACAATATTTCTCTCTCTTTCCCTCCCTCCCGTCTCCCGTCTGTCTACAATATCTATTTCTCTCCCTCCCTCCCTCTCCCTCCTGTCTATCTACAATATGTTTCTCTCCCTCCCTCCCTCTTCCTCCTGTCTATCTACAATATCTGTCTATCACTGTCTTATCTATTTTTCTCTCTCTCCCTCCCTCCCTCCCCCTCTCCTGTCTATCTACAATATCTGTTTCTCTCCCTCCCTCTCTCCCTCCTGTCTATCTACAATATCTGTTTATCACTGTTTATCGTTCTCTCCCTCCCTCCCTCTCTCCTCCTGTCTATCTACAATATTTCTCTTTCCCTCCCTCCCGTCTCCCGTCTGTCTACAATATCTATTTCTCTCCCTCCCTCCCTCTCCCTCCTGTCTATCTACAATATGTTTCTCTCCCTCCCTCCCTCTCCTGTCTATCTACAATATCACTGTTTATTGTTCTCTCTCCCTCCCTCCCTCTCTCCTCCTCCTGTCTATCTGCAATATTTCTCTCTTTCCCTCCCTCCTGTCTCCCGTCTGTCTACAATATCTATTTCTCTCCCTCCCTCCCTCTCCCTCCTGTCTATCTACAATATGTTTCTCTCCCTCCCTCCCTCTCCCTCCTGTCTATCTACAATATCTGTCTATCACTGTCTTATCTATTTTTCTCTCTCTCCCTCCCTCCCTCCCCCTCTCCTGTCTATCTACAATATCTGTTTCTCTCCCTCCCTCTCTCCCTCCTGTCTATCTACAATATCTGTTTATCACTGTTTATCGTTCTCTCCCTCCCTCCCCCTCTCCTCCTGTCTATCTACAATATTTCTCTTTCCCTCCCTCCCGTCTCCCGTCTGTCTACAATATCTATTTCTCTCCCTCCCTCCCTCTCCCTCCTGTCTATCTACAATATGTTTCTCTCCCTCCCTCCCTCCCTCCCTCTCCCTCCTGTCTATCTACAATATCACTGTTTATTGTTCTCTCTCCCTCCCTCCCTCTCTCCTCCTCCTGTCTATCTGCAATATTTCTCTCTCTTCCCTCCCTCCCGTCTTCCCGTCTGTCTACAATATCTATTTCTCTCCCTCCCTCCCTCTCCCTCCTGTCTATCTACAATATTTCTCTCTTTCCCTCCCTCCCGTCTCCAGTCTGTCTACAATATCTATTTCTCTCCCTCCCTCCCTCTCCCTCCTGTCTATCTACAATATCTGTCTATCACTGTCTTACCTATTTTTCTCTCCCTCCCTCCCTCCCCCTCTCCTGTCTATCTACAATATCTGTTTTTCTCCCTCCCTCTCCGTCTCCCTCCTGTCTATCTACAATATCTGTTTATCATTCTCTCTCTCTGTCTCTCTCGTCTGTCGATGTGGATTCTCATCTGTTCTGGACAAGGACGGTCATCCCTCCTTGCAAGGGCTCCTCTTTTGCAGGCCGCACAAGAGGAAGGAACAAGACCACCACATCTCGAGCAGGAAACTGCCCAAACAGTCTGTAAGGTCGTAGCCCTCGGCCTGCAAATGCAGATACTCCAAAATCAGCCAGACCAGAGTCACCTTTGGCGAGAGACCCGTTGGATAAATTGACTCTCCCGCCTGGGGCCTCAACCAGCAGGAGCTTTGGAATAAAGGGGCAATATCAAAGTGCAGATAAACAACATCTGGCCCAGACATTGTTGCAGGTCACAAAGCCTTGCTGCGCTGATGTTCCCCCCCCCTTTTTTTTTGGAAGGAGGCCACCACAGGCCATAAGCCTGCAAACATCTGCCGGTCATAGGACACCCTTCTGCGCCGCCCGTTGGAACCTGCATCAGGTCAGGAATGCGTGTCTTAATGGGACCCTCGTAACAAAGATAGATCTCCCCCCATTACGCCTTTTGCCCAGTTCCACAACTCTCTTGGATGCCTGCCCACAGCTCTCCCACCAACAGTTTGAGCTTTTGCTGCTGTTCAGCCAGGTGAGAGAAAGGCAGATCAGAAATCCAGCAGCTCAAGAAGTCACGAAGGGGGGTTAAAAAAAAAAAAAACCAATCTGTCGGAATAAAAGCCTAAACGCGGGTCGAGGGATGGAACACCAAGATTATATTTTAGATATCTGATCGGAGCTGATGGGGTGGGACAGCAGGACCGGAATTTACACGTCCAGCTCAGTTGGACTGTTGGGAAAAATGGATTGTGGCCCCTCAAGAGATAATTGGGAAGAAGTGCGTCAACTCCCGGGAGCCTGGCACCCCGCGCAGAAATCGCTCTCCAATTTCTTTGGGCGCCCGTGCTCGCAGGTGATTTGAAGGACGCCTTCCAAATGGTCACGGCCCGGTCTTGTTGCTCCCCCGAGTAAGGCTGGAAGGGGGTACGTGTGTGCGGGCCACCCGAGGGCCGAGCTCTGGATGTTGACCTCAAGAGTAGATGGCAACCCATCCACACATTTAGAAATGGCAGCGAGCCGTTAGGCCCCAGGCAGTCGAGAGGGAGACGTTAGACAGAACAGAGACAGACGGACTGACCCGAAGGCTGTGTGCGTAAGCGGCGGTGGCGTCTGAAAGGAAAGCAGACACAAACGGAGTCATGTCATAATTGGCTTTTTAAAGCAATTAATGCAACACTGCTCTGTTTTGCCCATTATGCAGATTAAAACGATATAATCTCTGCCGCGTTGCATGTGGTTACTGGGGTGGGAAGGTGTGGCTTTTGAAACGGTTCTCCTGTCAATTCAGCCGCCGAGGAAACAACAACAAAGGATTCCCTTCTCTTTTTAAAGGTGCAGTTGCACCAGGTTGCAGCAGGCCCATGGATTCAGGGGACCTAACGCTAAATAGGGCGCTCCTATAGTTTCTTGGGAAAAATGGACGTTGGCGCCTCAGAGATAATTTGAAAGAAGTGATTAAGGCCGGCCAAATTTGAGTCTTCGTTAGAGTGGTCCGGGCTGCAAGCAATGCCCTGGAAGGGATCCAGAGACTACACCAGGAGTAAGGTGTTTGCCTGGGGTGCCATCCGCCTCTTGAAAGAGCCGCTGGTCTTACAGAGTCTTAATTGGCAATCAAGCATCGTTTAGTAACTTTTGCCTTGCATCAGCAATAAATACTAAAATTTCAACTCTTTGCTTTTCATGTTCTCTGCGAAACTCGAAGGGGTTGCAACTCAACTCCCCAAGTTTTGAATAGCTCTTCTGAGGAACAAATTGTTGTCTTACGCTCCCCACACAATCCCTCTGGAGAAATCCACAGCCTGAAGGAAGGTCCCACGTGCTGCCCCCGTTTCCCAAACTGCCTCTGGGAACGAGGCGGATTATCCTCAAAGTCCGCTGTGGGGGCCCCCCCCCCGGTGCTCAAGACATTGGGGGGGGAGGGGCCCTCTTCCTGGAACGATCTCAAGGAGGCCATGAAGGATCTACCTTCCCACCATCGTGGTGTCTGTAATTTCCTCTCGTGGGCACCGTGTCTTTTTTTTTTCAGGTTGTCTGTGCAAAGAATATCAGATGACCCGATAGCAGTCTTCCAATATCTGAGGGGCTTCCACAAAAAAGAAGGGGGGGGTCAACTTATTTTCCAAAGCAACTGAAGGGAAGAACAAGAAGCAACGGATGGAAACTAACCTAGGAGAGAAGCCACCTGGAATGAAAGGAGAAACTTCCTAAGAGGGAGGACAATCAACCAGTGGAACAGCTCTGCCTCCGGAAGCTGTGGGTGCTCCATCGCTGGAAGCTTTCACGAAGAGACTGGACAGCCACTTGACAGACTTGGCAGAGGGTCGGCCTAGATGACCGACAAGGCCCCTTCCAACTCTTTTGTTATTCCGTATTCTGGGCACGAGGTATCAACAACTACAAGGAGCTGATCAGAGCGGCTGTTGCGACTACTGTGATTTAGGAAAATAGAACCCAGAGACCAACGGGCTGAGGATGGCCCCAAAGTGTGCGGATCCTCAGTCCACTCTCCCTCCCTCCCAGGAGCCCCCCTTCTGCCATCAACCCAGTTTAGGGGCTTCCAGAGTCCCCCCCCCCAAGTAGATCCCAGGTGCCAGAGGCCCCATCCGGCTGCTGAAGCACCACCCGTATTGGTTCTTCCTTGGGTGCCAAGCGTCTCTGGCTTCTCACAGCATAACAGTCGGAAGGGACCTTGTAGGTCATCTAGTCCAACCCCCTGTTCAAGCAGGAGACCCTCTACCATTTCTGTCAAGCGGCTGTTCCGGTCTCGAAAGCGTCCGGCGATGGAGCACCCACGACATCCGAAGGAAACTTCTTGATTGTTCTCACCGTCAGAAAATTTCTCCTCGTTTCTAGGTTGATTCTCTCCTCGACCAGTTTCCCTCCATCGTTCCTTGTCCGGCTTTCGGGCGCTTTGGAAAATAGCTTGTTCCCCTCCCCTCCTCTCTGTGGCAACCCCTCAAATATTGGAAGACCGCTGTTCTTCTGGTACGGGAAGCAGTATCTCGAATGACGGGAAGGTTACGGATTGAACGAGAAGGCTGTCGCCAGAGTTTTCTTTATTGAAGCTTTCAAAGCGGAAGAAAATTAAGCCGTAACAACACAAGGTTAATCCCAACGATTCATTTACACATCGACACGGACACATCGGCGTATTCAACCCGGCACTTTTCGATGGGCAATTGAACATCACCGTGGATGCGGCATGCCGTAAACCTCTGAGCTTTTTAGAGTCACTGAGGCTGCTGGTCGTAAGCTTCTGTCGCAAGCTGCTCGTTCCTGATTATGCCCTGGCAGGATTGGAACACAGGGCACAGGGCACCAACGAGGAGAGTCGGTCCGAACAAGCCTGGCGAAGCGTATATACCAAGAGTGCTGCAGATGGAGTTTCAGGGCCGTGGGAAGCCGGGCTG